GGTGGTGAATGTGAATGATTTGATGAATCAAAAATAAAACTCTAAAGTAATATTTCCGGTACATAAAAAGCTTCCACCAAAGGAAATCTGACCATCATAATAAAATCGACTGCTAAGCGCAATCTTATTGGCATGATATTCAGAAATTGCAATTAATTTATAAGTTATATTACATCGTTTAATGCGTTTGTTAGATCTCGTTTGAATATGCTTTTCTATTTTGGTCTCAAATTTATTTAAACAAGATCAATTTTATTGAAAATGTTCATCGGCCGTTTTTTAAATATGATAAAGAGGTTATCTGTTAAATGTGTTTTATTTTGACTCTGGCTATGTTTTAAAAGTTGGATTTCGGTGAATACCTTATTAATTGTATTTTAAGCGAGATATTTATACAATACTTTATTGTATAATGGCATTAAACAATCCAAATTGTTGTGTATTTGGCTATAGTAGTAGAAAAGGGAAAATAATCCCAATTTATCTTTTCATAAATTTCCTTCAGTTAATAGAAGTATTGAAATTGAAAATACATTTGGAACAATGGAAAATGCACTTCAAAGAAAGGTTTGGATAATTAAATTGAAAATGGGAAAGGCATTACTATTAATAGGTAAGCGAATTTGCTCTTACCACTTTACAGAAGAAGATTTCATCCCTCCAGGTTTGTAATTTTTTATTAATATTAGTTATTAACTAATATTTTTACTTTTCTAATATGAATTGTTTGATCTGCTAATTTATGTTTTGTATGTCTAAACATATTCTTCTGTCTACTGCGGTACCTCGTTTAAATTTGCCTAAGCTAAAAGCTAAGGCATAACATTAATAAAAAGAAAAGAAATCCAGCAAAAACAAGAGTAATGGCTACCCAGACAACACACCAAATCCCAGAGGTATCCACAGAATATCTTTTGTGGATATCTAATATATCCACAGGATATCAGAAATATTCCGTGGATCTAATATGGATATCCAAATGTCCGTCTATATCCAGAATATAGAAGATATCCTATGGATTATCCAGCAAAATATCTAATGGGTATCTTCCAGACAATACAAGAAATCCCAGAGATATCCACAGAATATATTTTGTGGATATCCAATATGGATATCCAACCAAATGTTCATCTATATCCCAGGATACAGAAGAATTCGGATATTCACCAAAATATTTTATGGGTACCTTTTAGTAGAGGTTCATAAAAGTAACCAATGATTATTGAATAACGTCGAAAGAAAATAGCAGAGATAAAAATATTTTCAACACTCAAAATATTTTCAACACTCTGCCTTTGATTTTGCCCACTAAGGAGAAAGTCATCCTTATTAGGACTCTTCAGCAATAAATGGAAATTCTCGACTCCAGTCTCTAATGGAGTCTGATTGGGAAACAAATTTCGATCGAACTCAATTACGGCGGGTTGAGCATGAGTAGATGCGATAGTGGTATCGCCATCAATACTTAGTAAGCAAAATCAAAAATTACATCTAGTGGATATCCACGATGGTTTGAGTTCGCGCCTAGACTTTGATTATTTAGTGGATGTCCATGGGATATTGAATACACCTTAAAAAATTAATTTTAAATATCTGAACGGTACTATTAGCCACAATGGCGTAATTTTTTAATAATTTGCTATATAATTACTATTATTTATGGACATTTGCATGTCTATAAATTACATCTCATGGATATAAAATAGATATCCACCATGGACTGGACATTCAGTGGATATTGGGATGTTCAGTAGATATCCAAAGGATTTGGTGTGCTGTCTGGGTACTGTCAATAATAATGAGGTTTTCAGTACTAGTAAAATGTCAAGTTGTGGTCAAGTTTTGACTTATCTTCTTCGGGTAATAGATGTACGTATGCATAATTTAAAATGTTTGGTTAATTATTATATGTGTTTGCAGTTAATGAACATATACTACTGAAACAGCTGTTGAAGAGCTTTACATAATTTACAAAATATATAAATAATTAAAAAAACTTTAAAACAGAACATAGGTACAATTAAAACTCAATAAAATAATTCAACAAAATGTTCGACTGAGCAATGACATTAGGTCCTATGATTGAACGTTTACGTTATCCATAACGTACATGTTAGGCCGAGTTTTAACAGTAACAAGGCAAGTTCGTACGATGGAAAAGTTTTTCCAACACATTATTTATTTTCCGCCTGTTATGTTCTAATTTAACAGTTTTCCATCATCCGAACGTGCCTCGTTACTTTTAAAATTCGGCATAACATGTACGTTACGGATAACGTAAACGTTCAATCATAGGACCCAATGGGTTCTATGATTGAACGTTTACGTTATCCGTAACGTACATGTTAGGCAGAGTTTTAACAGTAATGAGGCAAGTTCGTATGATGGAAAACTTTTTCCAACACGTTACTGTTATTTTCCGCCTGTTATCTTCTAATTTAACAGTTTTCCATCATCCGAACTTGCCTCGTTACTTTTAAAATTCGGCCTAACATGTACGTTACGGATAACGTAAACGTTCAATCATAGCACCCAATATCTCAACTAGACTAAACTTTCTTCTAAACCGGTTCTGTAAAAGGTTTCTTCTATTAGGCATTCCAAACTGAATGGCTACCAGTGGGTGATGATATGGCAAAATTATGGCAACCCTGTAGGCCTGGTGATTTGACAATGTCAATGAAATAGATAGTTACATAGATTGATCATCCATATTTTTCAAAATAAACATAAGCTTATGCCTTGAAGTAAAAATGTAAGCAATTATTTTTTTTAAATATCTAAAGGCTAATAATTGGTTTTAAAACACATTTTTGCTAAACCGATTCAAATATGTCAAATATTTGTCAGGCAATATGGTCGCTCGTAAACGATCAGCTTTGAGCAATCTATAGAACTATATATGTATCATTGACCCTGTTAATGACAACTTGACAACAGGGTTGCCATATCTAAACTGTCATTACCCATTGGTAGCCATTTGGACAGGTCGTTGGAATGCCTAATTAGGCATTCCAAACAAATGAATTACCAGTGGGCAGGTTTGGTATATCTAAAGGTGGCGACATATAGTGTATTCTATCGACTTTACGTAAAATCATGAATAATGGATTACATTTAAATATTTTATGTCAAACACAATAAAAATAATATTTAAAAAACCCACCTATACATTTCTTCATAAATTGGCGGGCTTGGCGAGTACTACTTCGAATAAAAATAGCGTCCAAGTTGCAAGACTATGTCGCTACCCCCCTTAAATATACAAGAATTTCCCACTGGCACCTATTGTTTGACAGGTCGTTGGAATGCCTAATTCAATGCGACTCGCTTTGAGCAATCTATATAAATATAACTGTAATATCATTGACCCTGTCAAAGCTCACACCACGGGGGTTTATAGCATATGCGCATTTTGTCAACAAGTTACTGCGCATCGAAACTGGCGTACGTCCGTTTTACAATAACACAATTATATATAAAATATAAAGAAAACAGAATAATTACAAAATATCTCAATAAAAATGTGTTATTAACTTGCCAAAAGTAATAGTTTCACATTTTTTTAATTTATCAATCGTAAAATTGAAAAAATATGAATTTATTCAATTATTTGTACAATGTAAACCTGGCTTTGGATAACAAAACCCAAATCTCGTTAAAGCTCGAGTCGACTCGATAAACGAAACCCGAATGCCGAATGATACAAAATACAATATGGCTGTCGATGTAAACAATTCTGAGTTTTACTTTTATTTAATACAGTTTTAGGCATAAATTTAGTAATAATTTACTGTAAGTAAACTTATTTTGATACTTTTGCATGTCTATATCCTATAAATGCATATATTTGATTGTAATAGTAAATTTTTCTGGCCCATTTACACTGTTTTAGAAGAAACATTTTCATTTTATTGTCAACTGAAAAAAGGATTATTATTCGTAATTGTATTATCCCCAAATATTGAAATCCTTAACAAAGTTTTAATTCTGATATTCATTTTGATAATTATCCTAGATATGCCAATTTAATTGTATGTATTATAACCAAACTTTTTAATCTTTATAAATCTAAAGTATTTTCATTACATAAAGCAAGAAAATCTTAATTAGACGTTATAGAAATTAGAAGTAGTAAATTAAAAATTAGTTAAATCGCTGCAAATGCAAAAGTAATTAGTCACATACAATCAAAATCATGTGCTTTAGGAAGTTTTTCGCTTTCAACAATTGTTTTTTTTTTTCTTTTCAGGATTTATGGATGGAACTCTTGTTTTATTTCGCACGATTAAAGAAAAATTTAGTTCGTTTTGTGTTATTTAAAATAGTTGTTTATTCAGAAAATATATATTATGTTTATTGTTGTAACCAATAAAGATTCAACAAATAATATTTAGTTATAATACAATTTTGTATTACCTATTTATTTTTTACCTCTAAAATTATTTAACATAAAATTTTACATTTTTATTAGCATTTTTTAACACGCCTGAGATGCGTGTTAAAAAATGCTATTAAAAATGTAAAATTCTTATATTTTGTCGAAGTAAATTAAAAAGCCCGCCAATTTTCAAATTAAAATAGCATTACAGCTTTTTATATTACCGACTGAGTATTAGTTGCACAAAACTATCCCACATGTCGCTGAAGGCAAACATGTTGCCATATTTATACAAAGAAACGGCAACTCTTAATTATCCTTCCTCCATGGCTCACACGCAATAATTTTGACAAGTCTTTGTTTTTGTATAGAAAAATGAAAAATTAAAGTCTTGGAATTTGGAATACCCACAGCCCCTCAGGCAAAATATAAAAGGTATATTGTTTAGAATACCTAGTGTATATCAACTCACCTTCATATTATTAATATAATATATAGTTCAGTGGTGTATGCACATAATAAATATGCAAGATTAGACATCTTTGATTAGATTTATGATAAAAAGATTTGAATAGAATTCTGGCTTTTTAAAATAGACACAAATATCAAGCTATAAATTATGGGACAAGCTAAGAGTCAATTTTCTGAGGATGAACTACAAGACTATCAGGTAACTACTATCAGGGAGATGTGGATAGTATGTATAATCTTATGGTATAATCATTTCCTAAAACAGCTGCTCTTATAAGGATAAGCTAAATTAAAAAAAAATATTTTTTTTCCTTGTCCTTTTTGCAGATATTCTAAAACTTGAAAATAGTATATTATTCTTTTAATTTTTCAGGATTTGACATATTTCACTAAAAAGGAAGTTTTATAGTAAGTATTTATTGTTTATTAATGTTATATGTGTATTCAACAATCAACTTTTAGTGCCCACAACAAATTTAAAGCATTAGCTCCTGAAAAAGTGGGTCATAACAAGAATGCTAAACTTCCAATGGCTAAAATACTACAATATCCAGAATTAAGTGTAAATCCATTCGGAGAACGGATTTGTGAGGTATTTAGCTCTAGTCACGATGGTGATTGTACTTTTGAAGATTTCTTGGATATGATGTCAGTTTTAAGTGAAGCAGCTCCAAAATCTGTAAAAGCAGAACATGCTTTTCGAATATTTGGTAATAAAAAAATCAAACTATAAATATATAAAAGTTATTTAACTCAAGACCTTTTGCTCATTTTAGATTATGATGGAGATGATATGTTGGGAGTATCAGACTTGAAAAAAGTTATCACAAAGTTAACTGGTGACCATAAACTTAGCGAAACAGAAATAAATATGTTGATAGAGAATGTATTAGAAGAAGCAGATATGGATGATGATGGTTCGTTATCTTTTGCTGAATTTGAACATATCACAGACAGATCTTCAGATTTTCTATGGTACTAAATGTTTATTTTATTTTTTATTGATCTAATTTATATTATTTTTTAGTGCTTTTCGGATTCGTTTGTAGGTATCTAGAAGAATGTATTGGGGCTTCTTATCTCACATGACCATATTTGACAGAACTGATGTAAAAGCCAATATTTTCATTAAATTTCTTGTTTTACTAGATCACGTGGGATACAAGTATTGCCCAAGACTTGTATATTTACCTAATAGTCTTATATTACCATTTTTTATTCAATGTATTGGTTGTACAATGCTTGAAAATATTCAAGCATCATAACTAGCTTTAAAAAAATACTTTTTTAATTTAACCATTTTAGGATATTTAGGAGAAAACAAATTGTACATACCTTATTTAAATAATGTAAACATTCCACTACAGTATTCAAATATTTTTCCCTAAATACCTGTTTATTTCCAAAAATATTTACTCATTTAATGTATTCGATTGTACTATCAATAAATTTGTATAAATATATATAGATAAAATTAATTTTTTTTTACCAATTGTGCCTTCACAAGTAAAAATGTCATATATTGGATACTTGTTGAAACACTAATGTAAAGGGACTGATCCACAACTGTTCTAGTTTTTTGATTTCTAGTCATATTTCACTTTCTCCTAAATCTGCATCATCATTCCATATTTAGTGGCATCTGAAAACTGACAGTTTTTTTTTTTTTTTTTACAAAAAACTACATGTGAATGAAGAATATAATAAAAAAATTACTGAAAATTACAAAATTTATATTTGCAAAATGACAAATATTTTTCAGTTAAAAGTTAAACAGATCTTAGACATTTTGTATAAATAATTTTTACATGTACACATTGAGTATTTCTAATATTACTATTTTTTAAGACTGAAGATATCCAGGTAACTTCATTCTCATAAAGATCCAAGTAGTGAAGAAGGAAACGGTTACACAAATAAATCCAACAGCTGTAATTAGTAGTCTATTAAGTTTGGGAGTGTTGGTATTGTGAATGTGGTCGAGAACTATGAATCCTAAACCACCCATTGAAAACAAAAAGCTTGATGCGAGACCTTCCATAATGTATTGACCATTCACCCTGTAAGGCATAAATGCCACCTAAAAAAAACGGTTTTATGACGCACACTGCTCACTTTAGATATGTAATGACATTATTAAAAGAAAATTTAATAAAAAATAATTCTTACAGGTCTAGAATGGCCATGTTCATCTGTTGTGGATCCGACACTCGGGGGCTCGACTATTACATCATATATTATACCTAAAATGAATATTTATTGAAATTTCAAATTATTAGGTATATTTTCATACTTCGTACCTCCAGTAACTAAAAAATACGAGGCTAATACTATGGAAAACATCGTCATAGCCGAAGGTTGTTTTACCCATGAAGGCTTCTTAATTTTCATGTGAGGAACTTCTAAAATGAAGTAAGGAAGAGTAAAAAATTGTTCCATTTTTGAAAATCAAAGAAAACTCCAAATAAAAGTTATACTTGTTTAGTTTTAGATATTATTGTTTGATTTTTTTGGTTATGTGCACTAAGACGAATTTTTTTGTCGTGTGTCGTGATGTGTGCAACAGGGTTGCCAAATGCCCAGCCAATCACATATATAGTTTATGTAGACTGCTCATCCATACGTAAATAAAACGATGAAAAGCAGGTCAACTGGGAGATGTTTTCTCTTTGTCTAGTACATGCATGTTTGTGTTTTGTCATGTGTCAAAAATAACCTTGTGAGTACTCGTGACCAATGAACTCCTGTTCATTGCTCGTGACTCACACTCACGGTAAACAATGTAGCTCTCGAGAAATTACAGAGTCGGTTTGGTTTTATTTTAGATTTATATAAGGGAAGAAATATATTAAATTGGGCTTCGATATTTTAATTGATTTTTTACTCTGAAGGTTCCCGAGTTCGAAATTGTTTTTTTTGTACATAAATGAGAGAATGGCTCTGCTGATTTTCTTTAAATTTACCAAAAATAATTTTAATTTTTTACTTTCCAGTTATCAGTAAGGAAAGTGGAGGAATCATTCGTCTGATCATTAGGTTTTGGAGTCCTCCAAATCCGTTTTGATAATTTAAATATAAATTTTAATTCACTTTGCAAAGAGCTAATTCGATTTTGGGCATAGTTGAAGTATGGGGGTACTTTATAAAGGCTTGTTTTTTTAAGCTATTGCATAGCTTTGAGCGCGGCGACCGAATCAAGAAATTCCGTAATGCGTAACGAAAAAAACCTAGCACCCCCACTCCGACCGGCACAGCGGTGCGGCGTTAAACAATATTAACTTCTCATTTATTCAATAAAAGAAAATCGAAAAAGAAATTCCGTAACGGAAATAAACTACCTAATCTATGAAATAAACCTAACACCCCTCCACTCCGACCGGCACAGCGGTGCGGCATCAATGTTGTTCCTAGGTATTTTTGAATTGTACAACTTTCAGTGTGAAAATTGTACATTTTTAGGTTCGATTGTACAACCACTAATTAATCTTTTTTTTATTAACAGTCTATGGCTTACTACTTTCCGATGTCAAGATCTGTTGATGGAATATATGAGAAAATCAGCAAACTTCATTTGTAATGGCATCTTCTGTACGATTGTGAAGTCGATTTTTAAAATTACTTTTATAACTTGTTTCTTAGTTTAATATTTACTTCATCTTAAGTTTTATTTTACATTTTTGTACCATTATTTTTTTACTAGAATTAAAAGCTGAAAAATGGTTTTAAAACACATTTGTGCTAAACCGATTCTGATTATTGAGTACTTGTGAGGCTTGAAATGCGACCCATTTTGAGCAATCTATATAACTATATTTTATTGGCCCTGTCAAAAGTGTCAAAGTCAATTTGACGTTTCAATTTATAAAAATGGAAGAAAACAAGAAAATTAATTTTATTTTTGTTGATTTTTGCTTTAATTGATATTTTCACTGATTCACTGTATAGAGTTATAAATAATTATGAGTACTTACGAGATAAGTAAATCATCGGTATGTTTTCTAAATTCTGAATTTATTTAGTTATTTATTTCTGTTTTTCAGTTGTTAAGTCTAAAAGCTGAAATATTAAGAAAACAACAAGAGTTATCCAAAGCGAAACTTGAAAATGAAGTAAAGAAAAAAGTTTTAAAAAACAATCCATTAGATATTAAAAATAAAGGTATCGAACTAAGAGAAAAGAATGATCAGACAGACGAACATGAAGACTTGTTAAAACAGTCCAGGTAGGTACAAAAAGCATAACGAAAAAAGAAGGAATAATATATACAATTTGTCACTATTGTTATTGTTTCAGATCAGTTTTAGAACGTAAAGCTCGCTTGTATGATAAATTGTCATCAGGAAAACAATCTGCAGAAAATGAAGAAATAAGTAAAAATTATCTTGTAAGATTTGATAAGAAAAGGCCACCTATTGAGGATTTGGCCCCAGACCACACTGAGTCTCATAAAAACTCTTCAGAAAGTGATGACAATTACTATGAAAGTGATGGAGAAAATGATAAGGATCCTAGTCAAAAATGGTAAGAATTTTATGAATTGAGATTACTAGGAATGTTCAGGGCCAAGAAAAAAGGTGAAATTCAAATTCCAAAATACATTTGGTGACTGATCCCTCTTATTAGTCTTATTGGAATGTAATAATCATTTTACTGTTGTTTTTTTTGTAGGGTTGACTATGTAGATTGTTTTGGAAGAACCAAAATGTGTATGCAAAAAGATTTGGAGTTCTTAAAGTCAAAAGATAAGGAACTAGGTGGAACTATTGAAGAAAAGGAACAAAATCCGAACTTAGAAGCTAGCTATAAAGATGATGACTTTGGGCTCAAAGAAAAAACAGAACCAACAAAATCTACTGCTTCTCCAAATGAAGAATCTGAATTATTGTCTAGTGATATGAGAAGAGAACTTTTAAGACAGCAATGGGAACGCGAAGAAGAAGAATTGTGTAATAAAACAGACATTCATTATCAGGATATATTATTTGGAGGTACATTAATTGAAAAATATAAATATTAGACTTTATTCATTATATTCAAAAAATATTTCTAAACGATGTCACTAATTACGTATTTTATTTTAGAGGCTAGATCTCATGGTGTGGGTTACTATGGTTTTTCAAAAGATGAAGAAGAAAGAAGTAAACAACAAGAAGCTTTAAGAAAATTGCGTGAAGAAACTAAATTAAAGCAGAAAAAGGCACAAGAACTGAGAAACTCCAGAGAAAAACTTTTAGCTGCTCGATTAAAAGCAGCAAGAAATAGAAAAAGAGCTAGAATGGGGTTACCACCAGAAGAAGATGGTAAGAAAATGTTTTATAATAATTTGTCATATCATAGAGTATACATTTTTAAAGATAAATCAATGCATTTCTCTTAATAGTTCAACTTTTTCTAAATTAACTATTAAGTAAATATTTATTTAGTATTTTATTCAACTATGTTAATGTATGTAATTTGGTCTCTTTCACATTAAAAATAAAAGGAGACCCACTTTTTATCAACCACTATTACTTAATTTTTAACAAAAAGTTTTTTAAATTCCAGAACCAACTCCTTCCTTACCAATACCAGAAGAAAAAGAGATAGAAGTAGAAGAAGTCAGTGATAAGGATCGTCTGTTGTTGGAGGCAAGAAAAAACCATATTAGACCATGGGATATAGGCAAAGAAGGAGTTAAGGAACATCAGATAATGACTCAAGAAGAATGGGTAGAACAAAAGAGGGCTGACAGGCAAAAAGAGTTCGCTCCACCCACCAATTACAGGAAAGATTTTCGAGCAAACATAAAACAAACTGATAGAGAAGATACTGAAGTCGATAAAACTTTGACATTTACAACTAAAAAGGCATCCAATTCTAGATGGAAATTTGAAAGGAACACAATAAATGATGAATTCAATTATAGCAAATCATCAACATATTTTGAAGAAATTCATCAAAGTCCAAATATTCAGCAAACCCCTATAAAAGACTTAGATACTGGCTTAGATTTTGATGATACCCTTCTTGAAGAATATAATAAAATAATAGGCAATTCAAATAAAATTGGGGTGGAAATTGCACCTCCTCCTACATATGATTATTATGGTCCTAGTCAAAATAAAATTAGGAAACATGAAGCGAAACAAACAAACATTCATGATTCGATAGAAGCTGGCCTTAAATTTTTAAGAAAACAAGTTGAAGAGAAAGAAAAATCCACAAAACACCCAGATGATATATTTTTATTTTAATTCCAAACAATGTATTGCAGCAACCTGTTTTGTTTTATATAAAAAATTCAAGACAATTAGTAGTTGTTTATTTAATCATTCTACTTACAATTTTTGAAGAGTACGTTGATTATATTGTCATTATTGTTTTAAGGTATAAATTAACTACTAAAAAATATTTATTGACTTCTAACAATTACCACATAGCTCTTTGTACACCAGATAACTTATTATAATCCGCTAAATGTCTAAAAATAATTCTACTAAATCTCCATCGATACACTGTTCCTCTTGGTCTAGATGTTATGACGCATCTCTTTTTAGTCCTTACCAAGGCAGAATCTCTAGGTAAGGCAGCTATTTCTCCATCTGCTAATTCTCTCAATTCTGGTGGAAGTATGTCGTTCTTTCTAAGAGAATTTATTCGTAATCTAGTTGGGGCCAATTCAGTCGTTAACTTTCTTCTTTTTACATCTCTGATCATCCAACGATTTACCCATTTGTTGCGGACTTGTTGAAACTACAAATATAATACAAAAATATATATTTTTTTATTTACTAAATTAGCTTTCTCACATTATGTTGTGTATTTAAGGCCATCAAAGGCATCAAACCTGATATTTGTTTTAATATATTCATTTTTATTATTTTCTGTTACCTAACCTTACTTTTTACTACTGATTTGACTTTTGACAGATTCTTCTCTTTTAACGTTTAAAAATAATAGGCCACCGCCATCGAGGGTATTAGGTATGACAGAGTCCGTATTTATAGACAAAACTCGTATTTATAAACAGTACTTACCTGAGTCCTGCAGGGTTATTCTACTAAATTTATAGCCCGGCTAAAAGTTTATACCCCGGCTACAAGTTGGATTTTGAAGTTAGGAACATATAAAGTTCAAGCCAAAATCCAACTTGTAGCCGGGCTATAAATTTAGTAGAATAACCCTGCAGAGTCGGACTTGAGTATCATCTTTGAACTAAGATCGAAGTGGTTACAATAGGTCTTTTCCTTTGCATCGACAGTGTAGCACTGAGCTACGTCACTTCTGAAAATATTGTTCCATCCATACAATTTGTATAAATGGAACGATATTTTCAGAAGTGGTGTAGCTCAGTGCTACACTTTCGATGCAAAGGAAAAGACCTATTGTCTTTAAAGTTCTAGGTGGTTCTGGGGGTCGATTCTCGACTTTTATTCCCATGGGAAAATAAAATTTTCCCATGGGAATTCAGTTTTCGTATTCTCGACATAAGCGGTGGAATATTTTCCAATGAGAAGTATGGGCAAATATTCCCCTGCTTGCGAGTATTGGAAATTGTATTTTCCAATGGGAATTGTACTAGAGTTTGCGCATTAAAGTTTAAAATTTTACGAAAATTTTTTGGTTATCTTGGTTTTTTGATGAAATTATAGTTAAAACATTTTTTTTTGGCGTATTTATAGATTGATATATTATTTTATTTATGTAGGTATATTATTTTTACTTCTCTTTCACTAAAAAACTGTATAAACTGATTTTCTTAAATCAGTTAAAATTTGTGGGAGCTGCTAAGGGACTGGCAAACAACACAAATTGAGAAATTTGTAGTAAATTTAATAATACCTTCTCGAAAATTTTATTATTTCCGTTAACGAAAGAATTTCTTAGTTTCTCGAAACTTTCGTTGCTCTTACAAAAGCTACTTTTTTCAACATGTGAAAAGAAAAACTAAGAATAAGTCGACAAGTTTTAATTATACATAATCGAATATTTTCACTTGTTCCTCGGTCATGCTAGCGATTGCTCGGCACGGCATATCTGCTGCAGCGCGGAGGCTCGATAGGTAATCGGTTACTCAAAAACCAAATACAAATAATGCCAACAGTAAATTTTAAAATATCTTTAATGTTATTGGTTGTTTTGAAATATTCGTGGACAGACATACGTGACACTACTATTTCCATGGGAATGTCTATTCCGACAAGTTCGAGAATTATTACCATGGGAATATAAATAGTGGAATCTTTTCCCATGGGAAAATATTCCACTTAAACAAACGTCAATGTAAACAAATCAATTCTGTGACACATACAACGTCAAACTTCAAATAATTTCTTCTTTTTTTGTCCGTTTACTAAATCTGTATCTAACTCACGGGAATAGGTAGAGAAGAATCCACATACAAAATGCGTTCGCAGAGCATAAACATGACAATAAACCATAAACCGTTAGAAATCGCGCATGCGCAGCATAAAATAATCATCAACCGTTGCAAATCGTTTCTACGAACAAACCTATTCGCTCCGTGCGAAGTCATGGAAAGGGAAGCAAAAGCGATACTAGCGCTAGCTGCGGATAATTCGTGCATTTTAGGGCGATATTTTGTAATTTTGGCATATCAAATACACGTATACATTTTACTTTTTTTTCAAAAAAAGTAGGTAAAAACAATACAATAAGCAACCGGAGTTGCTGTGTTGAAAATTGTACAAATACTAGCAAAAAAACAGTGAAACTTATATAAAAAATTTCAGTAGCAAAGTGGAAATTAAATCAAAGAAATAAATGGATAGATATAAAATAAGAAGAAAAATTACCTTTATTTTTGTGATAATAACAGTATTGCTGCAAATAGTAGACATCAGAAACTTGAAAGGTTTTAAATAAACAATAAATTATCATTTTACCATGTTCTTTAATATCCCTTATTCTTAAATGTTCATTCAGCAAGGACTAGATTTCAAGATTTCTGCCTTTGATTATTATATGTGGTTGGAACGTAATTTTGTAATTTACTGATGGGAAATCAGTTTTAATCATTTAATTTATGTTTTCTTTCGAACAAAAATGAAAATATAAGTAATGATCCTTTTTTATACATTTTAACTTCACGCTATTATTAAATGGTATTTTTTTTTATTTTGACAGAATAGACTAATTCTTCAATGAAAACTTATTAGACTTAGGCAACTTCTTATACATTTTCCAGTAAATACTGTTGCCTGCCTATATTTTATTATTGATTTTTATCGATTATACATAATTTTCTTTAATTTAAGCGATAAAACAATATAATAATAATAAAAAATTAATGTTTTACTTGTTTTACAAATCCATATACTTTTATTAAAACTAACATATATACTTTTTAATTACGAATTCTATTAAAAGTTGCATTTGTCAGTATACGCAGAAATAGTACATTAGTATCAAAACGAATTGGCGCTGCTGTCGCGCACGGAGCGAATTGACTTACAGAAAATTAAACGGCACTGACGTTCGACCTACCAACTACAGTCAATTTGGCGAACTTTTTAAGAAAATGTCTACTCCCGTGTAAAATAATCTGAACGCGCTCCTCACTATCCGAACTCACCTTTATGCTCTTTAGTATGTCAGTTGTCAGTTTTGACATTGTCATCAGGTATCGGTAACTGGTATAGCCCGAGCTGAAACTATATTTTTGTTTCAAAGAACAGATTCTAGATGGCGCTGTACACAACAATTTACAGAAATCTACAATTGATGGTGGAAAGAGTGGGAGTGTCATTTGTCATTGTCAGACATCCATTATCGATTACATGACATTTGCCATTTTACCTGTATTTTTTGTGATTATCAATATCATATTGTCAATAATTATTATTTGTTTGTATTTGGGTGTGCTCTGGATCCTGGATGTATAAATAGTAAGTATTTTGTAAATAATTGTTTATTGTATTGTCAACTTGGTCTTGTTCAATTGTGTTTTAAATGTTCAATTTGTTTACTTGATCTTGCTGACGATTGAGCTTATTTTAAATTTTTGTGGTCATTTTTAGTTATAAAAGCTGTAATATATCGTATTGTTGTATGCCAAATTGTTTTGTAAACACTCTGAAATCCTAATAACGATTTATTTCAAATTTGAGTATTGGGTGTTCGCAGTCCATTTTTCAAGAATAAAACAACAAATTTGTAAAAACTATTTAGTATGTGATAAACATTTTGAAGATATGTTTAAAGTTCTTGGTGCACGCAGCGATCTAACTGTATTTTTATTTGTTCTAGTACAAACTTATTCAAGCCGTTTGGAGTGGCAGTGTTGCATCGTTGAAGACAAAAACAGCCTAGTCAGGGAAGTAATAGTCACTGTACTTTTTGTATTCATGCCTCACATTTGATTTTTATATTGATTTAGTTCAGATTGTTACTTTTACTGTTTTTTATTTGTTCTAGTACAAACTTTCTTCAAGCCGTTTGGAATGACAATATTGGATTGTGGAAGACAAAATAGCCTAGTCCGGGAAGTAATGGTCAGTATACATTTTTTTATTTATGCCTCACCTTCTGTGCTCCCCAACAGATTTGAAGGGTTCAGGAAAAAAAGGGGCCTAGTCACAATTACCAAAATGTTCAGAAAACCAAATTTAATTTAGACTGACTAAATACAAACTTTTGATACTTTAAGGTAATTGATTACAAAAAGATGTTACTTTGTTTAAATGTTGCCTGATTATATTGTAGTTTACCACTTAATTTACCAGACAGTTGTATTTTTTTATTCTAAATACTGAAATGACAAACAAACAGTAGGAAAGTCCTTGGACATAATTTTAAATGCACTGTTTTGCATTTGCTAATACTGGTATTTTACAAAATAGGGCGGACCAGTTCAATTTTGATAAAAATGTGGCTTAGCTGCTTTTTTCTTCCTGTACCCTTCTTGATTTATAAGTTGATTAATATTTATTTTTTGTTTTAGATAAAACTCTTCAACCTCTGTGGACAATGACTTAACTTTCCAGCTAATTAACACGCTACATTTAATTATTGTATTTTGTATGTTTTTTTTTTGTTTTAATAAATTAATTTTGTTGATCATGCTTTTTAATTTTTTGTAAAAATATTTCAACTTGTAGTCAAGTTAGGATTGGTTCATACTACTCATTTTTTGCTTTATTGTAACAAATATAATTTTATTGCTACAATAAACGTAAAAAAGGAGTTGGTATGAACAAATCCTAATTTGACTACCACTTTTAAACTAAATATTGAAGGACCATTTTGAATGTTCCCGCGTTTTGTGTTAACTAAAGTGACCGCGAGATGGCGCCACTTCCGCCAAATAGTTCAAAGAACGCTCACCGGGTGTTACAAAACTGTCTCAAATTTTAACATTGCAGTTTCCATTCTAAAAGTAATTGTTCTGTGATTGTCATTTCATTGTTGCAACTGGCGATTTATATGATTTTTAAGTTTTGAAATGGCTTAATTGTGGTTTTTAAAAATTAGTTGGAAGCATAATTAACTAGTATTAGAATTATATGGAAGAAGAACATTCTCATTATACAAGTAAAAACCACTTTGTTCATAAATTTTTAATAGATACGTTTGCAACGTGAAATACAAACTAACCTCTAAATTTAACAATGTTTAATTCATCAAAAACATCAGAATCTCCGCGAAAGTTAAATAATAGCCTTCTCAGTGTCAATGAGGAAACTGTAAATGAAACATCAAGATCATTCGCATTTCCAAAAATTACATCTACACCTAGAAATAGCATTTTTGCTACACCACCCAAATCTCTTGTTTTAACTCCTCGACGGTAAGCATTTAAAAAATCAATATGTTTTCATTAATTACTAAATAATTAGGTATTCAAATGTTCCTATTTCTAATTTTTTCTTCTATCTTATCTAGATATTCACTATCTGAAATTGCAACACCTCCAAGAAATAATAGAAGAGAATTGATTCGATCGAATTCGTCCCAAAGTCCTCCTGGACCACTGCTGGCATCTACAAAATATAATATAAATGTTAGCACATTCGAAGATGTCAAAAGTCCAGGTCTCGCCAATCGCATTGTTCAATATAACGAAGAAGCTGAAAGTGAAAAAGATCAAAGACGGCACGCTACACATCAAACTAAATATGGAAGTTTAGGACTCTTTCCTGTTGTGCATCTGTTCAAAAAGAAATTACCTTTACTGGAGCAAAAACGCAGACAAGTTACTGTTAGAGTTGCAAGTCCAGGTACTGCTTTTTTTTTTTCAATAAAATAAGGGAGGAGTTTAAAGAAAAAAAATATTTAATCTAAATTATTTAATTTTAGACTACATGAAACATACTCCTGAATATAATAGAAGAATTTTTGATGGAATAGTAAAACCAAGTGGAAACGTCCTGAGAAGCCCCCATTCTAGTTTTTCAGAAAATCCCACAAGTACTAGGAGTGTGTTAGATGCATTAAAGGAAATATCTAGGAAGAGAATACATGCTAATGAGGTAGAGTATTGAAGCACGATTACTATATTTTTAGTAGTTTAATTTAAATCACAACAATAATTTATTTATTTATTTTATTTATTTATTTATACATTGTTCAACAGGTTAAACCCAATTACAGAAAAGGAGTACATTTGAAAGAAAACAGTTTAACAAAAAGCATATAGATAATTAATCTAAAATTACAGTAAATAAATTCTAAATTATTTTAAACAATGTGTTTTTATGTTTTTAACACTGCAATTAAATATATCCAACTGTTCACTAATATGCTTTTCTTCTGATGACTGTTTAGTTAGAAAATGTAGAAGTATAAAACTAATGAAAACACTAGTGAATTAAGTAAAATCTTAATTCTCATCCCAAATGCATTATCTTTTTTATACATGATATTATTAAAAAATATTTAATGCATTTAATGATTTTACTTGTGTTGATACAATTCACCATCATTAAGAGGGGTGGGATTCTGTTTCAAAGACAGGATTATTTAACTCGACATCACTAGAGTAGTCGCTTCGATATCAAATTTTTAATTTTGGAGTTAGTTGGATTTTTTGACATTAGGTAGGTATGATCTTATGTAATGTAACTTCCAGAAAACTTCTTTGTTATTAGACTCCTAGAACATCTAAAAAAGGATAATGTTATAAAATACCTCTTTGATAAGACAAAAAAATCTGATGTGTCCAACACATGACTTTCCTATCTAGGTATTACAGGCTTTTTCCGGTTATTTTGTACAACCTATTGCAGCATCTCTATAAATGTTTAGAGGATAAACTAAATATATACATTGTCCACATACATCTAACGCGAAACATTTTTCTATAGATATTCATTGAAAATGAAAATACTGAAAAATTTAAATTTGGCACTTTTCCTACAATTTTTCTATTACGGTCCATTTTAAAAAAATCATGTATAAACAAATATTATAGAGATCGATATCGCAAACAACTTTTATTTCAACAATTTTCATAAAAATCAGAATTTTGCACATTTTGTCAAATTTTTCGAATACGGATCATTTCAGGAAATTTTTACATAAAGCAAAAATTATAGATAATAATATTAGAAGTAACTTTTATTTGAACAATTTTTTTCTTCAAACATAAATAACAGATATATTCCATAAAATATAAAAACGGCCTCCCATAAAGTACCCCCCCAGATGTTCCGACTTTGTCCAAAATCTAATCATTTCACGTCAGGCCGAAATAAAACTTAAGTTTAAAATTTAATGTTTTTTTCTTTATCCATTTTTGAGTTTTCTTCAAATTTCGAAATTTACACATTTTCTCAAATATCTCGAATACGGTCCATTTTAGAGAAATTATCTATAGGATAAAAATTATAGAGAATTATATTACAAACAACTTTTGTTTGAACAATTTTTATAAAAAAAATATTTTTTTACATTTTGTCAAATTTCGCGAATACGGACCATTTTAGGAAAATTTTGTATATAACAAAAATTATAGATAATAAAATAAGAAGTAACTTTCATTTGAAGAATTTTCTTCCCCAAACGTAAATAACAGATATATTCCATAAAATATAAAAATGACCACCTATAAAGTACCCCCCCAGATGTTCCGACTCTGCCCAAAATCTAATCAGCTCATTAGACGTTGGAACAAAGCTTAAGTTTGAAATTTGGTGTTTTTCCGTGTATCGGTTCATGAGTTATGCGTTATACAGACACACACACACACAGACATCATCGCGAAAATAGTCAAAACGGATTCAGGGGACCTCAAAACGTAAAAATCCGTCGAAAACTCGAGGTCGAAAAAAATCATGATTCCTATACTTTCCTTATATCTGTATACAGATAGGAAAGTAAAAACTCTAGTGATTTTCAATTCTCTTAGCTCTTTTCTTCAGATTTTTACTTTCCTATCTGTATACAGATATAAGGAAAGTATAGGAATCATGATTTTTTTCGACCTCGAGTTTTCGACGGATTTTTACGTTTTGAGGTCCCCTGAATCCGTTTTGACTATTTTCGCGATGATGTCTGTGTGTGTGTGTGTGTGTGTCTGTGTGTGTGTGTGTGTGTCTGTGTGTGTGTCTGTATAACTCATAACTCATGAACCGATACACGGAAAAACACCAAATTTCAAACTTAAGCTTTATTCCAGCGTCTAAGGAGCTGATTAGATTTTGGGCAGAGTCGGAACATCTGGGGGGGTACTTTATAGGTGGTCATTTTTATATTTTATGGAATATATCTGTTATTTACGTTTGGGGAAGAAAATTTTTTAAATAAAAGTTACTTCCTATTTTATTATCTATAATTTTTGTTATTTACAAAATTTTCCTAAAATGGTCCGTATTCGAGAAATTTGACAAAATGTAAAAAAATATTTTTTTTTATAAAAATTGTTCAAACAAAAGTTGTTGGTAATATAATTCTCTATAATTTTTGTCCCATAGATAATTTCTCTAAAATGGACCGTATTCGAGATATTTGAGAAAATGTGTAAATTTCGAAATTTGAAGAAAACTCAAAAACGGATAAAGAAAAAATCAATAAATTTTAAACTTAAGTTTTATTTCGGCCTGACGTGAAATGATTAGATTTTGGACAAAGTCGGAACATCTGGGGGGGTACTTTATGGGAGGCCGTTTATATATTTTATGGAATATATCTGTTATTTATGTTTGGAGAAGAAAATTGTTCAAATAAAAGTTACTTCTAATATTATTATCTATAATTTTTGCTTTATGTAAAAATTTCCTGAAATGGTCTCTATTCGAGAAATTTGACAAAATGTGCAAAATTCTGATTTTTATGAAAATTGTTGAAATAAAAGTTGTTTGCGATATCGATCTCTATAATATTTGTTCATACATGATTTTTTTTAAATGGACCGTAATGGAAAAATTGTAGGAAAAGTGCTAAATTTAAATTTTTCAGTATTTTCATTTTCAATGAATATCTATAGAAAAATGTTTCGCGGTAGATGTATGTGGACAATGTATATATTTAGTTTATCCTCTAAACATGTATAGAGATGCTGCAATAGGTTGTACACAATAAACGGAAAAAGCCTGTAATAACTAGATAGGAAAGTCATGTGTTGGACACATCAGATTTTTTACTTTCCTATCTGTATACAGATATAAGGAAAGTATAGGAATCATGATTTTTTTCGACCTCGAGTTTTCGACGGATTTTTACGTTTTGAGGTCCCCTGAATCCGTTTTGACTATTTTCGCGATGATGTCTGTGTGTGTGTGTGTGTGTGTGTGTGTGTGTGTGTGTGTGTGTGTGTGTGTGTGTGTGTGTGTGTGTGTGTGTGTGTGTGTGTGTGTGTGTGTGTGTGTGTGTCTGTGTGTGTGTGTGTGTGTGTGTGTCTGTATAACGCATAACTCATGAACCGATACACAGAAAAACACCAAATTTTAAACTTAAGCTTTGTGTCAGCGTCCAATGAGCTGATTAGATTTTGGGCAGAGTCGGAACATCTGGGGGGGTACTTTATAGGTGGTCATTTTTATATTTTATGGAATATATTTGTTATTTACGTTTGGAGAAGAAAATTCTTCAAATAAAAGTTACTTCTAATATAATTATCTATAATTTTTGTTATATGCAAAATTTTCCTAAAATGGTCCGTATTCGAGAAATTTGACAAAATGTAAAAAAAATAATTTTTTATAAAAATTGTTTAAATAAAAGTTGTTTGTAATATAATTCTCTATAATTTTTATTATATACATAATTTCTCTAAAATGGACCGTATTCGAGATATTTGAGAAAATGTGTAAATTTCGAATTTTGAAGAAAACTCAAAAACGGATATAGAAAAAAACATTAAATTTTAAACTTAAGGTTTATTTCGGCCTGACGTGCAATGATTAGATTTTGGACAAAGTCGGAACATCTGGGGGGGTACTTTATGGGAGACCGTTTTTATATTTTATGGAATATATCTGTTATTTATGTTTGGAGAAGAAAATTGTTCAATTAACAGTTACTTCTAATATTATTTTCTATAATTTTTGTTTTATGTCAAAATTTCCTGAAATGGTCCGTATTCGAGAAATTTGACAAAATGTGCAAAATTCTGATTTTTTTTTGTTTTTACGTAATAACTAGATAGGAAAGTCATGTGTTGGACACATCAGATTTTTATATTTTGAAATAATAATAATCTACTTATAATTTACCCCATTATAAGTGCACCCCTGAAGCTAACCATTAATATTGTTGTGGCTCTATAGGGGACATAAAGATAGATATTTATTGAAGTAGGATAAACCTAATATACAAAAAAATATAGAAATACAAATACAGTACACTTAAAACTTAAAGATAATTATTATTAATATTAACATAATCAGAGTTAAGAAAAATAAATTTGTTACACATTACAAAGATACTTTTAATCTTGAGTTTAGACAGCCTTAATTAACAATAAAACAAGTAACAGTTGAAAGCATGAACCCAAATATTAAAAAAGAAGAATAAAAAAGTAATAATCAAATATATAAAAGTTAAAATCAAATTTTATCAGTTTTAATAAAAATTGTCAATTTTTTTTTTTAAATTAATGCTAATGAATTACAATCCTTCAAGCCCCTGGGCAGTTCATTATATTCTTGGAAACCTTTATACAATAATGATGACTGTGATTTCAAATAATTAACTTTTTAACCGACTTCAAAAAAGGAGGAGGTTATCAATACGTCGCTATTTTTTTTTTTTTTTTTTTTTTTTTATTATGTATGTTCAGCGATTATTTTTTAACACGGTGTCCGCTTTCAATAATTATTTTTTTGTTAGAAAGGGGCTACTTCAGGGGTGGTCCCATATAAATTTGGTCAAAATCTAATGATTGGGTCCATAAGAAAATCCTCAAACTCTTCATTTTTTTATGTATGTTTAGCGATAATGCTTCACCACCTTGTCCGATTAATATGATTCTTTTTTTGTTAGTAAGGGGGTACCTCAGGGGTGATCCCATATAAATTTGGTTAAGATGTGGTGATGGCATCTGCACGTTTTTGAAGTCGGTTTTTTTAAATTTTTAATTTCTAATACTTGTTTAATGTGTAAATATCGTTAGTTGATCTTGTGCTGTAAACATGAATATCCCATGATAACAAATAAATTGATGAAAGTAGGATGGAGCTAAAGAATGAATTATTTTATAAATAAACATAATTTTCAAGTAGTACAACCTTTGCTGAATTGAAACCATTGAAGATAATTTAACATTGTGGCAATTGGTGTAAGACAATTAGTTTTTAATATTATGGACATGCCTCGATTTTGTAGTTTTTGAAGTTGATTTAACTTGTTGAGATTAAATAAATGAAGAATGGAGGCACAATAATCGAAGTGAGGCTGAATAATTGTATTATATACTGTTATTTTAGTTAAAGTTGACAAGTTATTTGAAATTCTAGAAAACAAATATAATTTTTTCAAATTTTTTTTATTAATATAATTAAAGAAATCATTAAAAGTAAGTAGATTATCTAATTGGATACCTAAATACTTAATAGTTGGGACTATTGCGATTTTTTCACCATTTATTTGTAAATTAACATCATTGATATCAAGTAAGCTATATTTATGTTTAGTTGTAAAAATAAGTGATTTTGTTTTAGTTACATTCAATTTCAATTTGTTAAGTTGAAAATACTGGGCAACTTTCTCCAGTATTTTATTAAATTTCTCGATTGCACTCATTAAATTTATATCAGAGCATGCTAGCAGAGTGTCATCAGCAAAGAGATTAATGAATTCACAATCAACAAACAGTCCAATATCATTCAAGTATAGTATAAAAAGCAGCGGCCCTAAGACACTTCCTTGGGGAACCCCTGTGTCAATGTTAATCTCAGGTGATATCTGATTGTTAAAATATACTTTTTGTCTACGACCTTGCAGATAATCATTCAGCCACTGGTATACTTTTCCACCTACACCATATTGTTGAATTTTCTTAAGAAAAATACCCCCATCAATGGTCTCAAATGCACGTTTTAGGTCTAAAAAACAGCTACTACATATTTATTCTCATCCACATCATTTTTAAATTTACTCACCATTATCTCTAATGCAGACTCACAGGAATACTTTTTTCTGAACCCAGACTGGTTAGTTATTAAAATAGAATTATTATTAACATGTTCAAGTAGTAGTTGTTCATACACAACCAGCTCTAATACCTTTTTAATTGACGGGAGAGTATTCACAGGCCTAAATTCTTCTGATTTTATTGTATTATTAACTTTTTGAATTGGAACAATAGTACTAATTTTTAGTTGAGATGGGACTTTGCCAGTATCAAGTGAGGTATTAATTAAGTTTAAAATAATGTGTCCAATTGTTGCATACACTTCCTTTAGAACTTTAGAATTAAGAATATTAAATGCAGAATATTTATTATCTAATGAGTTCAAAATTTTATATAAGTCATGTAAAGTAAATTAAAGTTGTGAAATGGTAAGTATAAATTATTGTTTAGATTATGCCAGGGAACAGTTGCATCAATACTTCCAATAATATCCATAATAGTTTCAACAAAATATTCGTTAAATTTAGTTGCTATGTCAACATTATCATAAAGGATAATATGGCCTGTTTGATCACTATATTGAACATGATCAGTCACATCATTTAATTTAATATTTATTAGTTTTTTAAAGTTTTCCAAATCTCTTTAGGATTTTCTTTGAAACAATCAATTTTATTAAAATAATAAGTAGATTTTTTTAATTTCAGCACATTAACTACCTCATTTCTACATTTTTTTAAATTTATTCCACATATTCAGCTTTTGATGTTCTGCACATGACTTGAAAGACTTGTAAGCATTATCTCGGATTTTAATTTTATTGTAAACCTCATTATTAAACCATGGTACATTAGGGTTATACTTACATGTCTGAATAGGGGCACCCTGATTAATAACTCTTTCACAATTTGAATATAACTCATGATAAATTACTTCAACATCAATAGTATTAAGATTCCAGTTGTACATAATCAGATCATTTTGTATATTAAAAATGTTAGTTTCATTATAATTCCTATAATTTTTTATAACTTTGTTTGAAATATTGCTTGTATTGGAAAAAATTACAGAAATCACAGAATGATCACTGATTTTCGGAGTATCATGAACTTCAGCATCACAATTATCATCATTAGTTAATACAAAATCGACTAGAGACTTACTATCAATAGTTACTCACGTAGGTTTAGTAACTTTTTGTTGGATACCTTAGCTTGAGAAAAGATTCTTAATTTTGTTAACATAAAAACTATCACCAAGCAAATTTAAATTAAAATCACCAACTAATACAAATCTATGCACTTTAGAAGCAATATTGTCGCAAGTGGCTTCAAAATCTTCTAGAAATTTTGCAGATGGTGTTATTTGACAGAAGAGGAAAACCCAGAATAACTCCACCCATACATAATCAAAAAATAAATAACTCACCTCAAGGCTAAGCAATTTATTATTAAGAACAGGCAAGCGACATAGTCGATGAAGCTGCTCTTTTAGTTAGTGACAACAATTATTCTAAATTACTACATGACAGTTAAAACTTAATATACTATAAACTATAATGAATAAATTTTTTTCTTCCTTCGAGTTCTTTATCCACTCTCGCCTTGAACTGTTTTATGTTCTGGGCTGCGACCATATATGTTCCTGGAGACCATTCCACAGATATACAGTTCTGTTTGTAATAAAATTTGTCCTTTGCAGTTTATTACGCTTTACTTTATTATCTCATTTCTTTGAGTGACCTCTCAAGGTTCTTGATGTGCTGACCTGGAAGATGTTATCACAGAGATAATATGTGCTTGTCTACTTGTAAGTTTCTAAGTGTCCTCTATTTCTTCTATTGTTTAAACTTGTAAGTTGTAGTTTCGTTAGCCAATCACATTACTCATTGTTTTGTAAGGTCGGTGGTATTTTGGTGACGCTCATTTCTACTCTTTCCAGCAGTTCAATGTCTTTAACAATGTTATGATCTCAAACGTCTGTTCAAATTCTATCTTTGGTCTTATGTAAGTTGTGTACCGTTTCGAGGATCATATCTGCGGAATGGTTTTTAAAAGCTCTTTTGATAAGATAAATGAGACTCTTGACTTTCTTCATCATATTAACAATGTGGGTTTCCATTTTAAGTTTTTAGATATGATGACACCGAGATCGTTTTGTGTTTCAACTGGAGTTACTGCATGGTTGTTTGACAGCTGTCTATTCTTATACAGAACTGCCGGTTGAGTAAGAAACTCTTAATCCATAATAATAGATTGCCTCTTATTCCAAAGTGTTCTCATAAATAAAGATATATCACATCAAGTGGCTGGTTGTTGTCATTCCAAGCTGTTCACTGGTTAACTGCACTTAGACAGGTCTTTTGGACCTTAATCCATGTTGATTGCTTGGTAAAATTCTGTGTTCCATCATAAACTCAGTTACTTCTTTTGTAACTTTTCCATTGCTTCACCGATACAGCTTGTAAGACTGACTGGATGATAATTTATGAGATTCTTTTTGTCGCCTTTCTTATATATAGAAGTGACTATAGCCTGTTTCCAGTCCATTGGCAGTTTTTTTTTAAGAAAAATGGGTGGAATATTGTCTATTCCAGGACTTAAATCTTGTTTAAGACAATCTATTTGCTATTCTCAACTCTTTCTGTTGTAGTTATTTGCGGTGATTCTGTATAAACTGCACTGAACTATTCTGCAAATCTTTCTGCTATTTCGGCTGATTCTGTGATTGCTAAATTTGTTGATGGGTTTCTTAGCGTGATCTTAATGCTGTTTGTATTCAATATTATTTTCACAAAGGAATAAAATTTGTTCTATCCATACAATTTGTATAAACAGAACGATATTTTCAGAAGTGGTGTAGCTGAGTGCTATACTTTCGATGCAAAGGAAAAGACCTGGTATGAATTAATAATATTGTTTTGATTTAGAAAATTAATTAATCGTGATCAAAAATTTTAGTAAAGTTAGAATTGTGCACTATGTTGAGCTATCTTACTATTAATTAATATATAATCTGCTTTTCAGATGTTTCTCTTTTATCGTATCAAATACTTTACATCACTAAAAATATTTGGGCATAAATAATTCTTCGATTTTCAGGAATTAGAATTACGAGGAGAAACTGGTAAAAGAATACGAACCGAGAGTGAAGATTGCGTAGATTCGAACAAAAGGGTGAGAGATGACTCACCACTTTTGGAAACCACCAGTCCTACGAGACAAGTTTCCAAAAAAATTTGCATGTATGATGAATACGCAGCTTCACGTTCTTCGATGGACTTTTTACGGAAACCTGAATCTTTAGTACCCAAGAGGAAGTCCATAAGCATAAGTAAGTATAGATTAGAATTGAATTTTATTAACTCTGTTACTACAATAAATGATTAACAGCAGTTCATAACAGAATATAACTTACAAATGCAACATACATTCCCCTACAAGGTACAAGTAAGTTTCTTATTACTTATTTTTTGCTTGCATTTTTTTTATCACGACTTATCAACTCGCCTGTTGTGACAGAAACAGATTCGGGTTGTATTGTTAGTTTGCGAATTTTGTTATGTTGCACCAAGCACCCATTTTCACCAATTTTTTTACCAACCTCTTAACGAAAGTATAGTCATGCTTGTTGAGCTATGTTGTTCATTCACATTTTCATTTTATAACAAAAATAAAATACATGTAAATTTAATAGGTACTAATACTCTAATAGCGCATTAGTTTATGGTTAATAAATATTTGAGTGTTTTTATGGAAATCCATATAGAAATATTAGAAATATTTTATTCTCAGTAATACATATATAAACATGTTTACATAGTCGTCAGTACACATAAATGGTAAAATACACCACATTTTACATACATTAAAAAATTAAAATAAAATAGAATTTTAAAAGATCATGGTTGGTAATAGTAATAAAAAATACATAAAAAAAATACAATATTAAAAATATTAGGTGACATGTTTCACTCTTACAAAATAATCGTTAGTGTTATATAGACACATGTCCAGTAATATCTTTTTAATTTGATGTTTAAACTTTTTTTCCTGGTAGATTACGGATGTTGGGCGGAAGTGCATTATAGAATGAAATGCCTATTTTTCGGGACTTGTTTATTCTAGTTCTCGTTTGGATTAGCTGATTTTTCCCTCTGGTATCGTATGTATGATTGTCTGAGTGATATGTGAAGTTTCAAAATGATTTTTTATGGCTAGCAAGTTTTCAAATACTATTTGCGAAAACAGGGTCATTATGCTAAGTTACTTAAATAGTGGTCGGCATGGTTCATAATAATTTACCCGCAGAATAGAGTGAACTACTGATTTTTACAAGATAAAAAGTCTTTGTAGTGAAGTGAAGCTAGCATTTCCCCAAGTTAGAATCCCAAATTGGAATGGAATAAGCCATAATAAGTAGTTATTGCTGCTTCTGTATTAACTATATTTGATATTCTACGTAGAGCAAACGTGAATTTTGCCAACTTGTTGCATAAGTTATTTATTTGATAGTTCCATGTAAGTTGTGTGTCAAAATATATACCGAGAAATTTAGTGTTCATTGTTTCACTAGTAGTTTGGTTCAACATGTTTCAGTTTTATTGTGATTTAAAAATAATTCGTTGCTATCAAACCATTGTTTAGCTTCAGTCATGATCTTAGAGTTTTTGATAACTATGTCAGGTGTGTTATTGCAGTGATATGAGAAATTGGTATCATCTGCATACATGGTAGTTAGTAATTCGGCACTATTTGAATTCATATATGATGGAAGATAATTGGTATATATTAAAAATTAATAGAGGGCCTAGTACGGCTCCTTGTGGAACACCTCTTTTCATTAATAAAGGTTTACTAAGTTTATTTCTGTAATATACTTTGTTGTCTGTTTTGCAAATAAGAAGCAATCATCTTATTTGCAATGCCTCTAATGCCATATTTATCTAGTTTGTTGATTAACAATGTGAGACTTACACAGTCAAATACTTTAGACAGATCAATGAATATAGCTACGCATTGTGATTTGTTTTCTAAAGACTCCTGAATGTTATTCAAATATCAAATAATATATATCAATTTTTATATTGCATTTACTTAAAACTAAATTTATGTAAACAATATTATTTTACTCACACCCATGTCTCCTATTCAACTGACTCTGCCACAGCAACATAACCCATTTATATAAAAAGGTGAGGGCTACAAAGTACAAAGCTTTCATCAAATTCATCCACCATATTACAATATGGCACCTTTGCCAAAAGTTGCAATTTCGTATCATTCATCGAACATCCTACTGTGTTCCAGATTGTTGACTGGCGTTAAGCATACTCGTCCCATTTCTTTATTAGTACCATTAAGTTGGTAATCGGACAAGTGGGGCCAATATATTGAACAAATTATTTAATGCGGCAGCTAATCTCTTCATGAAATCATATATCATAAAAATACAGTTAATTTCTTGAGTCCACTTGTGTATATTAATTTATAAAAGTTAAAATTGTTTCTTTTTAAGGTACAATAACAGAAAATTCCAAGGATTCCAAACAAGTTAAACTTATTAACGCCGAAACGCAAACCATAGCAGAAGAAGAACCAAATAAAATAGAATCAAAAGAAGATGACAATAACAAAGACATTGAAAATGAAAAATCAGAAAAAGTAGAAACAGTACTAAAAGTTTTTGATGATGCTCCCTTAGAAAGGATAAGAAAAAACCGATTAGCCGCTCTTATGGGCACTTTAGTCGGAAAAGACCCTGTTTTGGAACCAAAACCTGATTATTCGAGTATATTAGAAGATGAAACTGATAAATCAGAAGCTGCAGATAAACTAGATAAGCCTTTAGTATCCATTTTAACGCCCACGAACAAATCTCCAATTAAAAACGATAAACATGTTCGCTTTAATATCCCTGAAAGTATTTCTCAAAATAGTAACACTGTAACTAGTACAGAAAAAATAATTACTGAAACTACTGATACTGTAGAAAACAAAAAAGTAGAAGATGTTGCTTCTCCATTACTAAGCACCGATTCAATGCCAGTTATTAGTGTTGCTTCAGCTCCAATTATCGTTTCTACAGCATCCCTCCCATTTAATCCTAAATCTACTTCCAATTCCTTTCCTTCATTATTTCCAAATAAACCAGAAGTTCAAAGTACTACTACTAATGTCGCCGACTCATCTAAACCTTCTGTTGTTACGTCTTCTATCACCACATCCAGTCCCCCAAAAGTTGGAGGATTCAAATTTGATATTGCCAAACCTGCCTCTACTGTCACTAACTCAAATAGTTTTATGTATGATTCAAAAAACAACAGTACTACTAGTATATCATCGTTTGGTACTTCTTTAGTTAATGCTACTGTCCCATCTAATAACAAAGCAGAAACAAAAATGAACAATGCTGGAGAGGCTTTTCCAAAAATGACTTCTCCTTTTGCCAGTAAAGTTGGGGATACCACTGGGCCAATTGGTAAACCTAGTTTTTCGTTTGGTCCTGTTTCTACTGCACCATCTAGTAATTCTTTTAATATTGATGTGACAAAAACTGCTTCTGCACCTGTGAGCAACAGTACTGCTTCACCTATTTTATTTGGAACTACATCATCTACAAACGTTGGTTTTAGTACAGTAACTACTTCTGCTAAAACTAGTTTTAGCACTTTTACTTCTGTAGCAAATAAAAATTTGATCACTAGCCCTTCTGTCGTCGCTAGTAATTTTAGTGGTACATCTGCTTCGGCTCAACCTAGTTTTGGTACTACTTTAACTTCTGTTAGTTCTTTTAAACCACCATCCTTTGGAAATGTAAATACAACGAATACTCCTAACTTCGGTATGGCAAACTCAGCAGCAAGTGCTCCATCTTTTGGCATTGCAAACACAACAAGTGCTCCAACTTTTGGTATAGCGAGCACCACAACTGCTCCTACTTTTGGTAATATAAATACAACAAATAGTGCTGCTTTTGGAATTGGAAACAATACAAATACTGGAGGATTCGTTACTAATCCAACATTTGGAAACTCAAATGCTCCTAGTAATATTGGATTCGGTGCCAGCGCAACTCCTGTTAACAGTGGTTTTGGTACCTCTACAAATGTAGGTGGTTTTGGTATGTCTGCAACTCCTGTTGGTTTCGGTACTCCTACAACTTCTAGTGGTTTTGGCACTCCTACAACATCTGGCGGTTTTGGTACTCCCACAAGCTCTGCTGGTAATAACTTTGGCAGTTCCACGACTCCCGGTTTTGGTCCTTTTACTACTTCAGCTAGTAATATGTTTGGAATATCTACACCTACCACTTCCAGTGCCGGTTTTGGCACTAATGTGGCCACAGCTTTAAAACCTATGACGAATTCTTCATTTACCTCTCCTAATGTTAATAGTGGTTTTGGTACTTCTGTCACTTCTGGAAATGGATTCAGTGCCCCTATTACTACCGGCGGTGGATTTAATGCCGGCAATTTTGGTACTTCTACCAATTCAGCCACGTTTGGAACCACCACGACTGCTGCATTCGGTTTTGGAGCTACTAATACTACTTCTGTTAGTACCTTTGGAGCACCGCCTCCTACTACGACGGTTAATACAGGATTTGGTACTAGTAATACTGGATTTGGGGCAAATTCAGGATCATTATTTGGTAACCCAAATATGCCCAGTTTCGGTGGTTCATCAAATACTCCTTCCTTTGGAAGTACCAGCTCCGGATCTTTTTCTGATGCAGCATTTGGAGCCGTTACCACCACCAGTTCAGTTTTTGGTCCTACTTCGACCACAACTCCATCATCGTTCACGAATGACAGTAATAACAAGATTTTTGGGGGACCAGCTGCAACTTTCGGTACACCTACAACAAGTTCTATGTTTGGAACGACGCAGAGTCCGTTTGGCGGCGCTGTTACGACCACCGCTTCTTCGGCACTTCCTTTTGCTTTCAATGCTAAAACGACAGCAAACACCACTTTTGGAATCACCAACACCACATCTTCGTTTGGTTTCGGTTCGAGTACGGCTGGTTTTGGTAATCAACAGTCTTCTAGTTTTGGAGCGCCAAATAAGGCGCCGGTATTTGGTAATAGCAACGTACCCGCTTTTGGAGGAAGTACTACTGCTACAGCTGGATTCGGTACCACTACGCAACAGCAACCCTTTGGTTCTACAGGTAAATAGATAACTTCTGCTTGTTCCTATTTGTTTTTTTTTTTAACCAAATGTTGTTAGTGGTTTTCCCACTTTGAATTCAGCTGATAACTTAATTGGAAATATTTCATGCTTTTCCAATTTAATTAATTTTTTTGTTAATATTTGTTTTGTTGTTTATTTGCTGTATTGGTATTTGGGCCTTAATTTTTTTTACAGTGGCTGTATTGATTTTTCTATATTTATTTTCTTTTTTTTTTAGGTTCTGTCTTCAATAAACCACAATCTCCCCCCAATACATTTGGATCTGGACAACAATTCTCCTTTGTTCAACAACAAAATAACACAAACAATTTTGGAACGAAAACACCAAATCAGTCGGCAGGGGTATGTAGCAATTTAATGATAATTGGATTTTGAAATTTTTCTCTTTTATTATTTATTTATTTATTTACTAACGTTGATTTTTGATTTTAAATTACATTTTCCGAAAATTTAAAGATTTTAATATCGAAAAATATAACAAAAATGTTGGTCAAGTTTTTGGTTATATAGATTCGGGTTTTTGGGGAAGAAAAAACCCTTTGCAAGAGAAATATTTTTTAAAAATCAATGGAACCTAACCTAACCTAACCATAGAATATTAGCATTATTTAGAAAAAGTTTTAGAAGTGAAAGTTCTTATGCATCGCTCTGGCATGAAAAATTGATAAAAAAACGAAATTAATTAAAATTAATAAGACTCAATAAAAAATAATAAAAATAAATAAATTTGAATAAATTTCAATATATATTGATAAATTCGAATAAATTTTAATAAATTCCTATAAATTCAAAAAAATTCAAATAAATTCGATTAAATTCAGATAAATTCGATTAAATACAAATAAATTCGAATACATTTGTATAAATTCCTATAAATTTAAATAAATTTTAAAATATTCAAATAAATTTCTATAAATTTTTAACAAATAGGTATAAATTTAAATAAATATTAATAAATTCCTATTAATTCAAAAAAAAAAATGAAATAAATTCGAATAAATTTAAGTAAAATTGAATTAATTTTAAAAAATTCGAATATATTCAGATAAATTCGATTAAATTTAAATAAATTCACATCAATTTCAATAAATTCGAATAAATTTCAATAAATATCAATAAATTCGAAAAATTTATACAAATTCCTAAAAATTTAAATAAATTCGAATAAATTTGATTCAATTTTAAAAAATTTAAATAAATTTCTAATAATTCAAATAAATTCGATTAAATTTTTAAATAAATTCAAATAAATATCAATAAATTCGAATAAATTTATACAAATTCCTATAAATTTAAATAAATTTCGAAAAATTCGAATAAATTTGAATCAATTGTAAAAAATTCAATTAAATTTCTATAAATTTCTATTAATTCAAATAAATTCGGTTAAATTTAAATAAATTCGATTAAATTTTTAAATAAATTCAAATAAATATCAATAAATTCGAATAAATTTATACAAATTTCTATAAATTTAAATAAATTTCGGAAATTTCGAATAAATTTAAATAAATTTTAAAAAATTAAAATAAATTTCAACAAATAGGAATAAATTCAAATAAATTTAAATAAACTCAAATAAATTCTAATCAATTCAAATAAATTCGCATAAATTTCAATAAATTCGAATAAACTTCAATAAAATTGAATAAATTTTAAAAAATTCAAATAAATTCAGATAAATTCAGTTAAATTTAAATAAAATCGAATAAATTCAAATAAATTCGATTAAATTTAAATAAATTCGATTAAATTTAAATAAATTCGATTAAATTTAGATAAATTCGAATAAATTTCGAAAAATTCGAATAAATTTTAATCAATTTAAAAAAAAATTAAATAAATTCAAATAAATTTGAATTAATTTTAAAAAATTCAAATAAATTTCTGTAAATTTCAACAAATAGGAATAAATTTAAATAAATATCAATAAATTCCTATAAATTCAGAAAAATTGAAATAAATTTGCATCAATTCCAATAAATTTCAACAAATTTGCATAAATTTAAAAAAAAAAACAATAAAGGAGAATGTGCAGTTTTGCCCCTCCTCCCAATAGGAGTAAGATATATACCAAATGAAAGATATCAGTAAGGAGCACATTTGTTTTTATTATAATTTCTCTCAATTATCTATCCGTTCCGAGTTATTAAGTATATAGATTTTTAAGACCACCATCTACCAACAATGACTATTTTTAAACAGGTACATCGGCTACCTGGCTGCAACCCTAAATACCGCGGCGAGGTACCCTGTTTACAATCAATCACATTCATATCTGTTCTATCCAAGCCGCGATGTCTAGTTCACACCCTTGTCTCAATAATATTTTAATTTTACTAATTATGCTAATTAGTGAATTATTATATTAATATAAATAATTACTAATTCCCGATGATTGACAGGTCATTAATTATAGACAAGGTAATTAATGATTAACAGGTAATTAAAATGATTAATGACCTTTGGCGGTATCATTGTCGGCATCATCAAAGGAAAATTTGATTCCCAGGCCATAGTGTCCCCCTTCCTACTACTTAAGTCTACTTAAGTTGAAATCATATGGAAAACCTTTTTAAATTTGTTTTTCTTAAAAGATATTTTGATAAGAAGTTCTGCATGGTCCAAAACTTAAAATGCAATCATTAGATATCAATTTTTTAAAGCCGTATACGAGGTTTGTCAAATAATATGAATTTACTCAAGAGTAAAGTACCTTATTTGTACATTGTAAATAATCACCAACCTGAATTTTAATGCTAAATGGTTATAATTGCATATTTTTAATTCAAAATACCTGTAACATTCTCCTGTATTGCAAAAAATAAAGGTAAGTACTTTACTCTTGAGTAAAATTTATTTTTGAGAAACCTTGTATATGGCTTAAAAAAATGATATCTGATGATTGCATTTTAAGTTTTGGACCATGTAGAATTTTTTTATCACATATGAATTTTTTTCACAAAATCAATAATAAAAGTTTCCCATACGGTTCCAGCTTAAGTAGAAACACTGTATGATAGTGCATGTCACAAAACAGAGTTTTTTTTTTGTTAAAAACCCCATTTGTTAGCTCTAAAAGTTTTTTTATTAGTGGGTGCTGGCATAAATTCTGTCCTCCCCAGGCTTGTCATGGTAACAACTAAACAAAAACCCAAATCATGTGGCGAGGAAACGCGTAGTTGTCAAGTTATAGATGATTTAATTTAGCTGAAATCAATTAAGGACTAACTGTTGCTGTAGGGACACTTATCATGGTAACAAGTAAACAAAAACCCAAATACCGTTTTGAGGAAATGATTAGTTGACAAGTTATAGATGCATTAATTTAATTATAGTTTAGCTGAAATCAGTTACGGAGAAACTGTTGCCATAGGGACACTTGTCATTGTGACAACTAAACAAAAACTCAAATCTCGAATTGAAAAAATGTATAGTTGCCAAATTGTAGATGATATAATCTAACTTTAGTCTAGCTGAAAGGCCTTTTTCATGCAAGCCATGTACTAACTAGCATGATAATTGCCTTCTACCTATTACTTTCATTTTGTATTGATATTATATTGTACTAAGTAATTAAAACGGTTGTAATGTTAAAAAATTTTCATTTAAATAGAAACTTTTTGAAGCACACTGTAAATTCCAATATATATCTTTCTGTATAAAAGTAATTTGAAAAAATCATGTCATAGTCTAGACCGACGCGTATAAGATGCCCCACCCTGTATGTGTTACAAATGGCTCTATATTTGTTCTAATGTGAATGCAGTAATAATATTTATGATTGTATTATTATGTTAGTCCATTACATTGGTATTGAACAATTGGTCCTGGTCCTTTGGAGAGCATGTGTGAGACTGTGTAACCAACACGTAGAGGCCATGTGGTAAGGGATACACGTGGCGGATAAAATCCTCGACAGCATCATATGATATACCCGGATATTATAATTGTTTATATATTACTAAGAAGTAATAATTACTATTATTTTCCTGTAATATAGTATTTTTAATACAAATCCCGATGCACGTCAGAGATCATTTATGACGTCACGGCCTTACAGTGTTGCCTAATCGTCAGAATAGTTGAGGAATTTAGAATTTTTTAAAATTGTAAGGTTATGTATTTGTTATGTTACTATATAGTAGGAACAATTAGTTTTAAATGTATATAACTAACGGAAAATTTTGAATTCCTTTATGAATAATAAACATCTGAACAAAAAAGCTTTAAACATATTATGCAAGTCATGGAAAATAAAACTGTAAGGTAGTATATTGCAGATGGATCAAAATTGGTTTAGAATTAGCACAGAAAATATCTAAAACTAATTTAATTTCACCAAGAAAGTTATTTAACAGAACTACATTTAAGTTATAAACCACAACACCCCATAAAATTAAAGAGGTCATTGAAAAAATGAAAACTACAAAGGCATGTGGAGGATTCATAATATCAGTAGATACCTATACTTAAAGAATTGAAGTTTGAAAATGCTAAAATATTTGAATACAAGAAGAAAATTGTTAAAATATTTGAGTAGGTGCTTTAGTAAATCTCACTTTCAGTAAAGTAGCTCAAGTATTCAAGATAGCCAGAAATGCTTCAAAAATAAACAGATATCGCTACTTCTTTTCAACTCTAAAGTTATCGAAACATGTATGAACAATAGATTCATCACTCAAACATCAAGATTATCCATTCTATCAGCTTCAAAAGACATTTGAAAAATGTTATTCTCAGTCAGTTTTTTTAATTACACTATTTTCTCATAAAAAAACAATTATTCATCTACTAATCTTCATTATTCCTATAAAATTCTTTTATTTCTCCTAATCCAGATCGCAAGTATTTGAATCGCATTCATCGATATCGCTATTAGGGTTAATTATAATAAAAATAATTTCCAATCTATTAAAAAATCACTCTCTGCCAATATGTTTATTATTATATTGCTTAGAAAGGTCACAAATAAGTTCAATGGAGTTAAAAATAAAATGGCTGGGAAGATTACATAATACTTTGTCTATATTGTTCTGCTTAGGTAATTATCTACCATATATTTCTTTGGTGGTTTGCACCTGAAAAAAGAATGTTTTATTTAGTTCTATTTAGTTGCCATTTCGTATAACGTGTGTCAATATCACTATATTCTAAACTGTAATATCGAAACAACACATTATATCAATGATTTAATGTTAGGTACACCGTTATATCAAATCTTGTAACTTCATTTTTAATTTTTTGATATTGTTTTAAAGTTTATTTCTGAAAAAAAAGGCATTTTTGGATGTCACTGTACATCTTGAAAATGTGTAAAACATGTAGATGTTTATTGACCACTGTAATTAAATTTTTCCAATTAAATTGTCTTTATATGATTGCTAGAATAGCGTATCTACCATTAAATCTTCAATATGTCATTTCAATATTAATATTTTTTTTTTACTTGATTTACACAATTACTGATACCTTAATTTGCTTCAAATTTGGTTTTATCTCTTGCCATCGATTTTTGTAGGTCTAACACCCTTTGTCATTATTTTCCCAGGAGCTGTTTAATGTTTCATTTTGAACGATACATGTTTCATCAATGACAACGAACTGCTTCTGTTGTAATTCTATAATTTCTTAAAAACTGACCTATTTACAGTTCACGTCTTGGTTATCTTTTTTTCCTTCATTCTTTTAATACAGTTGACAATGATGCAATATAGCCATTAAACATTTGTCTCTCAATCAACTTTTCTCTTAAAGGTTCCAAAGTTATATGTTGACCTGCAAATAAGTATGTATTTATATTACTGTATACAAATTAAAACTTTTATAGGTAATATAAATAAATTATGATTGAATAAATAGATTTGTCTTTATACTTACTTGTTTCATACATATTATAAATACCACTTCGGATTCCACTTGTATCCAGTGTTATTGTATTAGTAGGTAATCCTTTGTTTATGAATGCTTTTTAATTAGCGATTTTAATCATTCATTATTCTTGACTGCTTGCCAAATACTACTGACAGTAGAAATATTTTTATTTAGAGATGCTGAAACACACTAAAAAAGACAAGAAAATAATTTCATATTTATATTAAATTTTATAACTTGTAACTTACCTCTCTTACAGCAGTTAAAGGTAAACGTGGTCCATCATTATCACGCTCTCATTCAAAATAATGGATTAAAGAAGCTATCAACTCCTTACAAGGACTATTTAGTTTTTTAGGCATTTTGTATATAAAAATTAAACGACAAATAATCAGCTTATACACTCTATGGTTGTTTTGAAAAACAGTTTTTTATAATTATAACTGGCAAAGCTTAAAAATACAGGCAAAAGGATTTTAAATTACAGAAAACAAAATGCACAATCAATAATTAACTCAACATAAACATAACCTAACTAAATCAGTGAAATTTTTTAAAAAGGGGTTGCAACACCGCAACAAGCATTGCGTTCGGTCTGCCAAGTTCCTTTAACTCCTTTAACACTTTTAACTCCAAACGACCCTTTTAGCGTTAGGTTTAGTCCGATTAGTGACAGTTTAACACGCTTAAATGTCATTTAAAAATTTGTCCCGCTCCAGCCCCTGACTGACCGAACTCGCCTAATGTGTACCAATTGCTGTAATGACATTTCTTCTCTATAAATACGAGCTTCATGGGCGTACAGAATGTCAAAATTATTTAATGTAAAGTATTATTTTTTGAGGACTAAACATTTAATAATGTTTTTATAAATTTTATATTATCAAGAATTAGACATGTATAAACTAAATAATTTAAATAATTCTTAAAATTATCAAAATAATCACCATAACAGTTTTCGACTTTTTAGTAATATGACTACGTTCATGAATGCTCGTGACTATACGTGACTTTTTCGGATTATTAGCTTAGTTAGGGACATTTTAATTAGTTGGTAGTACTATGACGAATGACCGACGTCATTGCTGACGTGCATCGGGATTTGTATTAAAAATACTATAAGCACTACAATAACAAAATATAAACACTGGCCTATCGTGCAATTAGTAACATTTAGGATGGTATAACTCGGAACGGACAAGTAATTGAGATGAGTCGTAATGAAGAGAAATGTTCTCCTTAAAAAGATCTTTCATTTGATATAAAACTTATCCTTATTGGAGGTGGGGCAATTTCATATACATTTCTGCCCATTGTCCTTTAAATAAATTCGAGTAAATTTCAATATACTTCAATCAATTCAACTAATTTTAATAAATATCAATAAATTCGATTAATTTTAAATATATTCGAATAAATTCCCGGTTTTTGGCCCCTTTTGTTTTTTTCGAAAACAAAAATTTTATTTTGTGCCAGTAAGTAGAGGTCATAAACAGTCGATTTGACCCTAAACGGAACCTCAAATAACTCCCCCCCCCTTATTACCTCCACAGTCCATATGATAAAATAATAGCCTAGCACAAATGCCTTGTAACTGATTAACTATTTGCCAGACTACTACCCTCGAACCCTTTTACATATTAATTCACTCATCATACTCTGCCCCCCCCCCCCAAACAGGACCCCCGCTGATTGTATTGAAACTGCTCTTAGCATTACCCAGAAACAACGACGTGGACGTGGTAGGTATGTTTCTTTTGGGGTGCTTTATTAATGTGAGTCCCCTTGCCTCTCACTGGGGTGCTTTATTAACGTGAGTCCCCAAAGTAAAACCGGAAAAAATTCAGACTTAACTTTTTGGTTTAGGGTTTTGACTTGTCTTTCTGCAAGAGGGTTTTAGTAAAATGGTTTTACTTTGCATTTAGGGTTTCTAGATAGAACGTTTAGAGTTTTTTTACTTTAGGGTTTTAGTTTGATGGTTTCCGGTTAAGGGTTTTAGATTGCAATGGAGTTTCGGGGGTTGTAATTGAGAGTTTGGAGGTTTCAGTGTCATAGAGTATCTGATTTAGCATTTTAGTTTTACGTTAAGTTTAAGCGTTTGAGTTTGCATTTCTGTTTGAAGGTTCCAGATGTACAGTTTGGGATTTTAAATTAATGAGTTGCGATGTTTTTTACTTAAAGAATTTAGCTTGCGTTTCTGCTTTGAGGTTTGCGTTGTAGTTTCAGTTTAAGATTTAGAGTTTTTTGTCTGTTTGCGAGCTTTAGTTGTACTTTTTGGGGGTTTCAGAAAATGAAGAACAAGAGTGAGTAGGAACAGTTGAAAACCGTGAAGTAAGAGGCAAGAGGACTCACGTTAATAAAGCACCTCAGTGAGAGGCAAGGGGACTCACATTAATAAACCACCCCAGTGAGAGGCAAAGGGAACTCATGTTAATAAAGCACCCCCCAGTAAGAGGCAAGGGGACTCACGTTAATAAAGCACCCCAAAAGAAACAAATACCACGTCCACGTCGTTGTTTCTGGGTAACGCTAAAAGTAGTTTCAATAAAATCAGCGGAGGGGGTCCTGTTTGGGGGGGCGGGGGCAGGGTATGATGAGTGAATTAATATGTAAAAGGGCTTAAGGGTAGTAGTCTAGCAAATAGTTAATCACTTACAAGGCATTTGTGCTAGGCTATTATTTTATCATATGGACTATGGAGGGAATAAGAGAGGGATTGTTTGAAGTTCTGTTTATGGTCAAACCAGGCTTAGAGGCCCTCTTCATTTAAATAAATTCGAATAAATTTCAATAAAATCCTCTAAATTTAAGTAAATTCGAATAAATTTTAATAAATTCAAACAAATATCAATAAATTTCAATAAATATCAATAAATTCAAACAAATTTTAATGAACTCGAATAAATTCAAGCGTATTAAAATACGTTATTTATTTGAGCGAATTAATCTAAGAAGTTAAACTTCTATCGTGCAACCAATAACATACTTTTTTTACAGAAAGTATTCTTTTCACATATTTTATTGTTAAAAATTGTTTATAGGTATTTACGTTTGGTCCAGCGCCAGCAGAAAAACCGGGAGGTTTCAATTTCGGTCCAACAGACACCCCAAAGAAATTCGATTTTACCGGCGCCCCGGCAGCAGCGCCGCCAGCATTCGGCGCTTCTTTCGGCAACGTGACGGCGCCGGCGGTACCGAACTTTGGAGCTGCAGCGCCGCCCGCCGCTGCCGGAGGTTTCAGCATAGGAGCAGGACCTCCTGCTTCCAACCGACCTAGGCCTATGATCAAAGGCAAAAGGAGGACTTGATTGGCGAAGAATTTCTAATAATAATTTTTATTTTGTGAGACTATAGGGCAATTGGTTATTGCAGTTGGAATGGTAAAATTTATTTGACTTTCTGGAAACAATTGACGAAACGGTTTTCTAAATTAGTATCGATTTTAATGCTATTACAGAGTAAGTCATTTGCAGACTAAAAATTAAATGTACAAGAGTTATAACAATAAAATATAATGTTAATTTTTGCGTGACTGGTTACTTTTAGATTCCAAATTAATAATTTTGTAAAAATTTCTATTTAAAAAATGTTATAATTTTAAAATATACATTTCTACAGAATATTTTATGGGTCAAACAAGGTACCTTTATTAATTTTTATTATTAAAAGGAACACCGTGTGAATTAAGATTATATTTGTAAATTTCGAAGAAACCTTGTTAATAGTAAAAAATTAATGATATTTTTTCAATTTAAACTATTTTAACATTATGGTGAACTTTTTTTTGTTTATCTTCAATTCTGGAAGAACCCATAGTTAAAAAAAGTAGTAAATAAATAAAATTATCGAATAATTGGATTTCACTTTTCAGTAACATTAACGATCATGGTGTTCTATTGATAATACTAAAACCTTTTGTTTTTATACCAATATAATAATAAAAAAACAATGTATAAATGTTATTTTTTTTTATAATAAATATTATGTGTTAGGTTAATTCTATTCCATATTCAAAGCAGTATCAATAATGTAATATCTTTTTTTTTGTAAATTATAGCTTTATTGAATTTTATGTTAGGCGCAAAACAACATTATTGATATTGAAATACATTGTAGTTATTTTTTTAACTTGTAGTGTAGCCTTCTTACACTGGTAGTAGCATACATGGAATTTTTTTATATTAGAAATATGCGATGTAAGCATGATGTATTTTTTGAAATAAACATTTCTTTTTAAGTTTAGTTAATGAGTAATATGATTGTGATATATAGGCTAAAATGTATATTATTATTATTATCATGCTTGCTGAAGCATAAATGTTGATTTGTATTGGTAAAACAAAAAAAAAACCTTTTATACAAAATATTTTAATTGTTTTTAGTCTAGTGGAATAAAGATATTTATTGAAACAAAATATAATTTACTGTCTTGATTCATAGTTTTATTGTAGAATATACATCCATTTTACTTCTCGTAAATTTTTACTAAGGATATAGATTCAAGTATGCACACAGCTTTGTTTATTTTTGAAGAAGGATTTTGGGATTTCGATTTTGTTGAAAATGTGCATACAGCTAGAAAAACCTCGTAGATTCCAAAAATTAAATCTGTTGTTTGATATCTCAAGTTGTTTTCGAGTTATTGGTGAAAATTTAAATTCTACTACACTCCAATTTCTCTTGTTTTCTTTTATATGTATACCTGAATTTTCATCCAAATTGGAGACCAAAAATGTGTATTACCAAAAAAATAAGCTATAATCCTTTGTTTTATTTTTAGAAGAAGGATCTTGGGATGTCAATTTAGTTGAAAATATTATCCTGAGATCGCCTGATAGTCCAAGCGGTGGGTGGTTTCTATTTGGTCGGGTGGTAGACATGGGTCCCCTGATACTACACCTAAGTTTGCAACCTAGGGGGGTTGACGCTCAAGGGATGGAGGGATGAAAACTCTGTGTCGCGACGCTTTTCAGGAAATAGCGCTGTTGTGGTAAGTGCTATCGAAAAAAGTTCAAATGAAATATGTACGGGACAAAATTGTGCACATTTTTGACCAATAGTTCCCGCTCTACGACGCGCCAAAGAAGGTAGTCGATTTACAATGTTCAATGGCCGGGAACTACCACTTGTTACCAGTGCCGTGCATTTAAAGGGTTTATCTTTTAATATTAATTTATCTATGGTGGCGACACTTAGTAGCGCCACTCAGTGTTGCCAGATTACAGGATTAATCGTGTAATTACACGATTTCAGTTCTTTTTACACGAATCAAAGGCAAATTCTCACGATTTTTAAATTCTGCTAAATAAATCGTCACTTTTAATAAAAATCTGAAACTTCAAAACCATTCAACATTCAATTAAATATAATTAAATTAAGTCACTATGCAGGGTGGTTCAGAACTTAACCGAAAAAAATTAAGGGAATATAGAGCAAAAAATTCTAAACCCATATCGCGAAAAAAATTCTAATAAATTCCCTTTAGTTTCGCCGGAAAAAAAATTATTAAGTTTTACACAGAGAAACACAATTCATTTGGCCGACTGTAAGTACCTTAGATTCCAGCTGATGCAATCAAATGCGAAACGCGTGCCTGCCCCCTCTCCATGGTTGGCGTCCACATCGAGATCCGTTTGTAGGTCAGTGTCAGTGAATCAACGCAGGTTACCGGGGGAAAAGGTGTCTGGCTTATCGGTGTAATCTGTGTTTAATGTATTTGTGGAAACAATGTTTACAAACGGTCAATTAATGGATATGGTGTCAGTGTATGGTGAGGCAGGACAAAATTAATTGGCTGCCCGACGTTTATACGCGGCACGCTTTCCGAATAGACGAATACCCAATCATACAACGTTTAGTTCAGTGGTACAACGCGGTCGCGATACTGGTAAATTAATGCCAAATCACGGTAGGGATGGAGGAGCAGGACGACCCCAGCGTATTTTGGAAATTGAAGACCAAATATTAAATATGGCCCACGAAAATCCCAGCGTGAGTACAAGACAGGTTGCTAGAGAAATACCCGGAGTTTCTCAGTCAACCGTTTGGCGAATAATACATGAGGAACAGCTGTACCCTTACCACACACAACGTGTCCAGGCGTTACAACCTGAAGATTATCCACAGCGAATACAATTTTGTGAATGGGTATTGGAGCAAGAAGCCCTAAATCCCGAATTTTTGTCTGATGTATTAGCTACGGATGAATCAATATTTACTCGAAATGGGGTATTTAACATTCACAATACTCATTCTTGGGCATTTGAAAACCCTCATTCGATTCGATAAGATCACTTCCAGCATCGGTTTTCACTTAATGTTTGGGCTGGTATTGTAAACGATCGATTAATTGGACCACATATTTTACCAAATCGAATGGATGGTTTACAATATCTTGATTTTCTTCAAAATGACTTGCCTGGACTACTAGAAGATGTGCCTCTAGATGTTCGTCAACGGATGTGGTTCCTACACGATGGAGCTCCCCCACATTTTCGTTTAGCAGTTCGTCAACACCTTCATAATGTTTACGGGTTAAGGTGGATTGGAAGAGGTGGACCAGTTTTATGGCCTCCACGGTCTCCAGACCTGAATCCGTTGGATTTTTTTTATGGGGCATCTCAAAAACGAGGTTTACAGGACAGAAGTTCCGAATATTGAAGAACTGCAGTTACGCCTTACAGCAGCTGCAAACGACCTACGCGACAGAGAGCACATTTTTCCTTTAGTTCGTGAAAACTGGATTAGAAGAGCTCAAATGTGTATTCAGGTTGGCTGTCAACATTTTGAACATCTGCTGTAAAAATGGTAAGTTAATCCTTTATTTTATGGTTTAATTTATTGCATTTTTGTTAACAAATTACCCCGTCACAAATTACGATATACTACATTTTCATACATTCTGCATACGCCTCGTAAAATGGCAGCCCAGTCACCAGATTTTATCAGTCGTAAGGCGGGGAGGAGAGATTGCATACTACAATCGTCCAGTTTTCAGAGGCGTGCTAGGGGTATTTTTAAATTAGTTTTTTACTTCGGTTTTTTTTTCCTCAAAAGTCGCACTACTGGTTTTCTGTGATGCTATACTACATCCCGTTTATTTTTTTACGTTAAGTTCTGAATCACCCTGTATATCAACTCCGTCCATGCTTCTGTTTATCATATTCATGGGCATGCAGATATTTTCACGCGATCAAGTTGTCGACACTGGTGATTAATTTTGGGAACCCCATAGAGCCAATGTATTCTCGTGTACGTGTGTTCTGGGTACTTCCCACAATTTTTATATTACTTTAGCGGCACTTTTAGCAGAAGCAAATCGAGTTTGTAATTGTTTTAGTCGAGGACGGCGATGTTTCAGTATTTTATTCCGACTGAAATAAAATCGCTGTGCTATTTTCTTAATTATTTCGCACATTTTTGTATTTGCCCAGTAAATATAATGTCTAATACCTCTGATAGTGATGTGCAGAAAACAGAGGACGTTTGCACACCTATGAAAAATATGAAAGGTGCGGAATATAAACAAATATAAAAGAGAGTGGGAGAATGAGTGGAAGTGGGTCCAGCCATAGAAAAATAAAAAGGGTCCAGCCAAGTAAGAAGGGTCCTGTTTATGCCTGGTAAGATAGATTTTTACCTTATTTTGTAAGTTTAAAATAATGTATCTACAGGCCCGACTAGTGGGGGGGGGGTAGCCGGGACAAATTCCCGGGGCCCGGGCTCAAATGGGGGCTCGGCAGCGCTATAAGGGGGGTCCGACAAAAGGGTTATCTGTTTATGCATGAGAAATTCGACATAAGAGAAAAGGGAGGTGGGAAAAGTTTTAGCTTATTAGCTTAGAGGGTTTTTTTTTCTAGAAGAGGATTGTTTTTTTTTTAGAAGAAGAAGTAATTGAAGTAGGGAGAAAATATTTTTTTTCGAGATGAGAACTTTTTTTTTTTAGAAAACGAAAAGATTTTGGTTACGTTTCTTTGTGACAGGGCCCGATGTAGAGAATTGTCCCGGGGCCCCACCTGGCTCTCGGCGGCCCTGTGTATCTATTATTATAGGTGTAAATACTGCAGCTGCGATATACTGATTGCGAGAGGAAAGGGAGAATTAAAAAAACAGCACTACCGGGAAGCACTTGAAATCAGTATCAAGTATCATCTGCTAAATCGCAACCATCTGTATCGTCAATATTTGGAAAACAAACAAAAAATCTCGAAGAAAAGGGAAGGGAAGGCGTTCTGCGACTTGCTGGATTTATAGCAGAACACAACTTGCCTATACGATTAATGGAACATATTCCAAACTTAGTGAAACGTATTTTCCCGGATTCTGAAATTGCCCAGGCTATTAACTGAAGCCGTACAAAAATGACTAACGCAATAAAAAACGTCACCGGCGCTGAAGGTAAACTGCAACTGATAAACATACTGCGAACAAATAAATGTAGTTTAATAGCAGATGAATCCACAGATAGGTCCTGTTCGAAGCATTTGTGCCTAGTTGCCCGAGTTGTGGTTAATTTTAATATAAAGGACTACTTTCTAGCCCTTTTGCCAGTTAGGGAAGCTACGGGGGCTACCTTGTTTACATTAATCGATGACTTTTTTAAAAAACACAATATCCCTTTCGAAACAAATCTTATCGGATTTGCTGCCGATGGAGCAAACAACATGATGGGCGCCCATAATTCCCTAGCCAGTAGACTTAGGGAAAAATGCCCCAATTTGTTTATGATGAAGTGTGTCTGCCACAGCTTCCATCTTTACGCATCATACGCATGCGAGAAGCTACCAAGCGAAGTAGAACAGTTGGCAAGAGATGTAAGGCTTTTTAGTGGTGTACATATATATTTTTTATTATGAAAGTTTTCTCTTGTTTTAGGTGTACAATTTCTTTTCCAATAGCCCAAAAAGACTTGACAACTACAAGGAATTTCAAGAATTTGCCAATGTATTGCCTCACAAAATCCTCCATCCATCACAAACAAGATGGCTTTCCCTAGAATCGGTTGTTAAAAGGTTGCAAGCAGACATTATTTTAGAGAAACTTAGAAGCCGGAAACAAAATTATATCTTGATTTCTTGGCATATATACTACCTTTATTCAATCAGCTAAATCTTTTAATGCAGAGTGAAAAACCACAGTTACATATAGAATATATGAAGAGGTCACATGTGTTTTGAAAACCCTCATGGATTGTTTTATTAAACGAGATATTTTAGAGAAGAACATGGTATATGAAATTGATTACAAAAATCCAAGAAATTTCTTACCTATTAACGATATGTACTTTGGAGCATCAATTGCTGTAAGTAAAATTGACAAAAATATTTTACATTCGATTAAAGTAAAATGCTTAGATTTTTATTTGGAAAGTACAAAGCAAATATTACTTAGATTTCCTTTAAAAAACTCCGCTATAGAAAAATTGAAGTTTTTGGATCCTGTTTGTGTAAAATCCAAAGAAAACACAATTTCTGACGTAGCATCGCTTTTTCCAAATTTAGTTCATCCTGAAGAACTTCACGATCTTGATAAAATGAATGGAGATTGCTAAAAAATTATCCACTAGATGATATTGAAAATGATGTACCATTTTGGAAGGAAATTGTCAATATGAAGATAGGAGATTCGCTAAAATTTCCAAATTTAACTAAGTTCGTTTTTCAAGTTTTTTGTTTGCCTCATTCTAGCGCGGCTGTAGAGAGGATATTCTCCCAAATCAATCTAAAACACAGTTTCGCAATAAATTAAAAAGAGAAACAATAGAAGGTCTTTTGTACACAAAAAGTTTTATGGAAAACAAGACAAGTTACGAATTTACTTTAAATAAAAATGTTACGAAAAAACTCGCTAATAGTAGGCTATTATATTTAGGTAATACAGAAAATAAAGACTCCAGCGAATCCGAGTCATCTTCATAAGATAGTTTTAAAATATAGGTACCTAGTTATGTTCGTATGTCGCTCTGTATATATTTTATTTGTTGTTTTAGAAATAACACAGTTGTACTCTCCGTTGTATTAGCATTTGTAAAAAAGTTATGTATTATGTTGCCTGTCAATTTTTTATCGCAATAGAGTTTTTTCGATAAATATTAAGTATTTTATTACTTGGTTTTATGTATTTTTGAAAATGAAGATACTTTCACGACTTTGCACGAATTTTGGCATCCGAGTAAAGCCTTGGTTTCGCCTTGGTTTCTTTGAACACTTCGTCGCGGTGAGCGGACAGTCCGTCAACCGTCGCGTTTTGACGATTTTATCCAACCAGGGTATTTAAATGGGATTGGTTTTCTTGAATCCGCTTAGCTGAGCAGGACGGTGTCATGCTGATTTATCGCGAAGAGTCGGTTGATATCTGTTGAAGCCTTGTTTTCTTTGAACACTCCGTCGCGGTGAGCGGACAGTCCGTCGACCGCTGAGGACAGCAAATTTCGCCCGAGGTGGTTTGTTAAAAAATATAGAAAATGATACTTTCTCAATGTCTGTACGTGCTGTTTATGTATTATGAATGTAAATGAAAGGTACTAAAATGGATGCAAATAAATTGTTTGCGTTGTTATTATTGTTGGAAGAGGAAGAACAAGAGGAACTGGCAATTGCAACCGTCAAAGTTTCCAATAAGCCAGTGGATGAGTTGTTTTTGTGTCGCGATACAGAAGGTGCCTTTAATATAACTGTGCAGCGGAGGCTTTTTGGAAATGAAATCAAATTTAGGGAGTATTTTAGACTTTCTACAGATCTTTTTGAATTCGTGTTGAGTTTTATAAAGGACATAATTTCCAAGAAACCTAAAAATAAAGTCATGATGTCATCTGTATGTGTGAATTTGTCACTCATTGTTTTAAAATTAATAACAATATAGTCTCCGCACACGCCGACGATTCCGCTGATATCAAACTCAACAGATATCAACCGACTCTTCGCGACAAATCAGCGGCATGACGCCGTCCTGCTCAGCTAAGCGGATTCAAGAAAACCATTCCCATTTAAATACTCTGGTTGGATAAAATCGTCAAAACGCGACGGTTGACGGACTGTCCGCTCACCGCGACGAAGTGTTCAAAGAAACCAAGCAGGCTTCAGATATTGATATCAGTGGAATCGTCGACGTGTGCGGAGACTATATTGTTATTAATTTTAAAACAATGAGTGACAAATTCACACATACAAATGACATCATGACTATTTTTAGGTTTCTTGGAAATTATGTCCTTTATAAAACTCAACACGAATTCAAAAAGATCTGTAGAAAGTCTAAAATACTCCCTAAATTTGGTTTCATTTCCAAAAAGCCTCCGCGCGCTGCACAGTGATATTAATGACACCTTCTGTATCGCGACATAAAAACAACTCATCCACTGGCTTATTGGAAACTTTGACGGTTGCAATTGCCAGTTCCTCTTGTTCTTCCTCTTCCAACAATAATTACAACGCAAACAATTTATTTGCATCCATTTTAGTACCTTTCGTTTACATTCATAATAAATAAACAGCACGTACAGACCTAGAGAAAGTATCATTTTCTATATTTTTTAACAAACCACCTCGGGCGAAAATTGCTGTCCTCAGCGGTCGACGGACTGTCCGCTCACCGCGACGGAGTGTGTTCAAAGAAACCAAGGCCGATTCTCTCCGCACTTCATCTGGCAATACTGGCGCCACTTCGTGGCGGGTAAAAGCCTGCCATTTAATTCAATGTTAAAATGTAGAAGCTGTCCAGACGAGCGGATGTGGCGAAGAGAAGCGGGTCCCCGCGACGAAGTAGCGACACTCAGTCCTTCCTCCATGCTCAGTCGCTGGAACCGACCACACGGGCCACTTTTCAGAGAATACCTCGTACATTCCAAAAAAAAGCTTGACGAAGTGAAAATTTAGGTAATTTTTTTACTATATTCAAAGGTGAAAATTAATTTTAAAACACATTTTTGCTAAACCGATTCTGATTTTATCAGTGATTTTAGCTCTATGGCTTTTACTGACATAACTGGCAACACTGGTCTCACAAGTCACAAAAAGAAGAAATAAATATAGGTTATGTTATTTTATAAAAATGTCATCCTCCGTTTCAGTATTTTGTTGTTTAAAAGGCTGTTTAAATAATTTTAAGTTCAATTCAACAGTACCCCATTTACCAAGAGAAAATCCTATTCAACTTGATACTGCTTTTATGGGTAAACTTTTTCTCTCAAAACTTTATCTATCTTGTAAATATAAACAATAATTATTATCATTTTAGGATATGAAGTGGTTGTAGTAAAAGGAGGTTTAAGAGTATGTGGCTCCGGAGCAGTCCTAGGAAATGCTCCTTTAGTTCAATCAAAGTCTTACTTTGAGGTCAAAATTCAACAAAGTGGTTCGTGGTCAATCGGATTGGCTACACGACAAACTGATCTCAGTCTTACCCAAGGTACTAATAAAAGTACAATATAATTAATTACATAAAAAAAGAAACTGATTAAAATATTAATATGAACCATATAAATGTAGGGTAGTCTTGTAGTTAGTGTGCTAATGCACATATTTAGGTATGTTCTACCTGCTGTTGCCATTAATCTAATCTTATTTTATATATAGTTTCTAAACAATCTCTAAAGTTTAAATTTATTTCTTTAAAAAATATATTTCTAGGTGGACAAGATGCATTTTCTTGGGCTGTGAGTAATGATCATTTAGTTCGGCATAACAAACAAGAGTTGCATAAAATAAGTTTAACTAGTCCCGAAGAAGAAATAGCACAAATACAGGAAGGGGACATTATTGGAGTAGCATTTGATCATATTCAATTAAAATTTTTTGTTAATGGAAAAGAAATAGACCACACTGTATCTAACATTAAAGGAACAGTTTATCCAGCATTATATGGTATTATAAATCTTTATTTTGCTGTAAAATATTTTTAAAGCAAGTTTCTTTTTTAGTGGATGATGGAGCAATATTAGATATAATTTTAGACAATTTTAGCCATTTGCCACCATCAGGTTTTGAAAAAATCATGCTTGAGCAATCTCTACTTTAATCATGTAGTTTATACTAGCTTTATTTTAAATGACATTTTAATTGAAGAAAAAAAAGGCTTTTTTATATTTTTTTACTGTTATTATTCTTTGTAATTTTAATTTATTTGATTGTATTTAAGACTAATATGGACTGTTTTATGTATTTCTATAAAAATGTATATAAATGTACATTCCTAGTGTGGATGCTGTATATATGAAAATCTTAACGTTATTAAAAATATCTTAATATACAGGGTGTTTATTAATTGAGTACCGTTACTTAATGGTGTGAATCCTTGAGTGATTTTAAGAAGTTAATATAAACATATGCCGTAAACCTATTAATTTTTGAGCTACAGAGTATTAGTTTAAAAAAATACTTTTTATTATAATTTTCTTATCACTCCAGATATTTTTATGAAATTTTGTACACACCTTTTATTCATTAAGGGGCATTTTTTCAGATAAAATATTTTTTTAAATTTTTACCAGTGAGGTCCGTACTGGGTTGAACTGAATATTTTTGAAAAAAAAATGGTACGCCACTTTCTTTTTTGTAACAAATTTGGTCTATTCGCTCCGTGCGAAGTCATGGAAAGGGAAGCAAAAGCGATAGTAGCGCTAGCTGCGGATAATTCGTGCATTTTAGGGCGATATTTTGTAATTTTGACATATCAAATACACGTATACATTTTACTTTTTTTCAAAAAAAGTAGGTAAAAACAATACAATAAGCAACCGGAGTTGCTGTGTTGAAAATTGTACAAATACTAGCAAAAAAACAGTGAAACTTATATAAAAAATTTCAGTAGCAAAGTGGAAATTAAATCAAGGAAATAAATGGATAGATATACAATAAGAAAAATTACCTTTATTTTTGTAATAATAACCGTAATGCTGCAAATAGTAGACATCAGAAACTTGAAAGGTTTTAAATAAACAATAAATTATCATTTTACCATGTTCTTTAATATCCCTTATTCTTAAATGTTCATTCAGCAAGGACTAGATTTCAAGATTTCTGCCTTTGATTATTATATGTGGTTGGAACGCAATTTTGTAACTTACTGATGGGAAATTAGTTTTAATCATTCATTCTGTTTTCTTTCGAACAAAAATGAAAATATAAGTAATGATCCTTTTTTTATACATTTTAACTTCACGCTATTAATAGGTCTTTTCCTTTGCATCGAAAGTGTAGCACTGGGCTACACCAATTCTGAAAATATCGTTCCATATATACAAATTGTATGGATGGAACAATATTTTCAGAAGTGACGTAGCTCAGTGCTACACTTTCGATGCAAAGGAAAAGACCTATTAAATGGTATTTTTGTATTTTGACAGAATAGACTAATTCTTCAATGAAAACTTATTAGACTTAGGCAACTTCTCATACATTTTCAAGTAAATACTGTTGCCTACCTATATTTTATTATTGATTTATATCGATTATACATAATTTTCTTTAATTTAAGCGATAAAAATATATAATAATAATAAATTAATGTTTTACTTGTTTTACAAATCCATACACTTTTATTAAAACTAACATGTATACTTTTTAATTACGAATTCTATTAAAAGTTGCATTTGTCAGTACACGCAGAAATAGTCCATTAGTATCAAAACGAATTGGCGCTGCTGTCGCGCACGGAGCGAATAGACTTACTATCGTATGACGCACCTTTATGGCGTAAAAAAATAGTTTTAAGTTCATAGAAACTGCTTTTGATATTTGGTAGGCACCCACCATGGGTGAAAACTTAATTTTCTGCTTTCACCATGCCTGAATGGACGTCCCATTCAGGCATGTTGAAGGTTTGGATAGAAATAAATGGTACGCCTCAGATTTTTTAAATTCTATTTTAAAAATCGCGATTCATTTGATAAAACGATAATTTCAAAATCCAAAGCGAAATGACAAGAGAATACAAACAAAATTAGAATGAAGATATATGTATAATGCTTGGCATTCTATATTATACTCTTCACAGTTGTAACTCTTCCGAGTCCAAGAAAACCAATGACTACCATTAAGAAATGGACGTGTAAAAGTTAGGAAGTTGGTTTTCAAAGATTTTAACAAGCCTCGAACCAAACTCTAGTCGTCATGGACAATGTGTCCTACCACAGTAGACAATTGGAGCCATCACCAACAAATGCCTGGCAAAAAGCTAATATCATTACCTTGCTATCTCAAATAAAGATACCATTCAATGATAAAATGTTAAAAGTCGAATTATTAAATATTGCAAGGGAACATGTACCTTAGTTCAAGAAATATGTTGTTGACGAAATGGCTCGTGAGGAGAATATAATTGTATACTGCCTTTTTCCTTAGCATTCTGAGCTAAACCCGATCGACCTAATATGGGCTCAAATAAAAAACCAAGTGTCGAGAAAAAACTTGACTTTTACAATGGACAAGGGAAAAGGCCTGCTAGATACTGCGATTAAAAATGTCATGGAAAAATTGCATCAGCCACACAATAAAATAAGAAGACACAAAAATGGATGTTGTAGTTTAACCATTATCAACTTGAATAATTATAACCTACCTCACCCAGGTACCTTCATAATTTATTAATTCCATTTTATTAAAGAAAAGTAAATCTTCTTTATAAATAAAAGCAATTTTTCTTTTCGCGGTGTCTTCAATATTACAGAAAAAATAAAAAGTTATCCCATGAGAATACGATCCAAAAAACTCCATAAACATATTTCTTTTCACGAAATAATCATCATTAAAACACTTAATTCGCTTATATTTCTAGTTTCGATGTTATCAAGGCACATAAAAAATTTTCCACCCAAAATTCGTTTCCAGGCGGAGCTACGAAAAACTGACGTTACAAAAAGCCATTAAAACGGGTATAAAGACTCGAACTTAAGGAGCTCGAGATTCATTCATTATTATTTTATATAGAATTCAGATTATTTTATATTCAGTACCTTTCCTAAATCGACGCTCTTCTTAACCGACGTCTATCGTACAGTATCTCCTATCCCCCGAACGCTGTCAACGTCCCACGCTTTATTTCCCGACGCTTGTCGTCTCTAAATATCACCAAGTATTTTCTACCGTATATCTGTCCCGACGCAGTATCGTAATACATTCCTTTCCACCACGTCACTAGGCGCCTCGACGCAAGACGACGCTCAACGCCGTCACAATGCTAGATACAATTAGTACATTAGTCCTAGTATAGACGAATCTAATGTCTGTATTTTCAATAGCGAGTCAATATATTTATGTAACTATCTTTGAGATACCACCGGGATTTCGTTTGAATAAGGGTCTGACATTTGCTTCAAAATATCAATGTAGCCAATAAACCACATGGCTTTCGAGTATTCAACCCGAAAGACAGTTAGGTTAGACATCTGTTTTCAGTGGGTGAATTAGAGTATTTTAATAAAAATTATAAAAATCAATATTTAGGAGTATACAGGGTTGTATTAAGTCATTTTAATTGAAATTATAAAAATCTATACAGAAATATACAGAGATGTATTATCTTGGATAAATGATACAAATCGAGATGGTAAAATTTAACCGTAAGTTAACCAACTGATGAATGGATGCAGTTCGTTAGCTCAAGGGGGAAACCTTATACTAAGCTACACATTCTACTAGGTTTGAAACAAAGTATATGTGAAATCAACGAAGTAAGGTAACCAACCGGCGAATTGACGCTGTTCGTTATTTTTATTGGTCATCACCTCTATACTCATTGAAATAATTATCTAAGAGGGTACAACCTGTGTACATCTAGAATATAATCAAGCTAAATAAAAATATAAACATCAACACAGTAGTTAACCAACTAGCGAATTGACGCTGTTCGTTATCTCCGTTGGTCATCAACCTAAATAAAATATATCTTTATAGCAAATGAACGTGGTCTACGTTTGAACGGGTCTCAAGTGAGACCTCAGTAAATAGTACAAATTAATTGTAATATACTTTGCTAATGATCACATTTAAAGTATGAAAAATAAAAGAGTTTAAATATAAATTTGTATGGTTTTATTTTTCAATTTACACCAAACTTTGAAACGAATTCTGGTATACTTTAACTAACATTATCACAACGTGGGTATATAAATTATCAATTAATTAACTAGACGATCACCACTACTACTAGAGGAAAAAGGCCAAATAGAGTAAGTATAGAATTTAAAGTAAAACAAAATTAAGAGGTAAATAATAAGATTTCAGACGTTAAAAACAATGATCGAAAAGGGGTACCGGGGGGTGGGTTGTTACAATAGCAATGGCGATTATAGTAGTTCGTTATTTGGCGAGTCTTCTTCAGAAGATAATGAATAATAATATAATACTGTAATTTTTTTTGCTTCGAAATAGCGGCCATACCGTTTGTGATTCCCCGACATTTTCTCAATTTATTTATTACATAATCCTCTGCTTATTAATAATCCTTACCGACTTTTAAGTCGAACAAAAAGTAGCCTAGACGCAAACACGTCGCAACCATTTCTGAGAATTTTGATATTTTAGTATAGTATAGCAGTATCAGCGCCATATATGTATTTCCATAGATACAAAAAAATGAAACAATGATTTTGTAAAAACTATTATATTTCTTCATGCAAAATAAATACACATGTAAATATTCAATGAAGCATTTTTCTGCAGTTTGTAAGATCACTTTGTAAAAATAAAAAAAAAAATGAACACAAACGAATGTGACAATTTTGACTTAAAAGAACACATAAAATTATTTACTCATCAACATTCATTGAGCTGGATAAAAAAACATCATAATACAGCTATAAAAAAGAATAAAACATTTTGTGATAATCTCAAGTGTATAAAATAGTTAAAAATAGAAGTGGATATCTCTAAAAGTTTTAAATACATATCTATTAAAATGGTCATTTTTATTTTAAAATGTAAATTAAAAATCAAATATACTTTTCAATAAATTTAACAAAACTATTAAATCTGATGTCTTTTACTATATTTTTTTTAAACAACCTATTCATAGATAAATATTTAAAGAAAATAAAATATATCGACAGAGTTTACCACTTCAAAAAAAAACTTATTTTGCTATTATCTACAAAGAAGAAAATAGCAAATATTTTATATTAGTCAAAAATATACAGATTGTTCGAAAATCTAAAATCAATTGATGCTAATTACTGTACTGGGACATATATGTTTCAATAAAATATCTATATTTAATTTTGCGAAAAATCTATATAATCTTGGTGATATTTACACATCACGAGTGTAGTGATTTGTTGATAAAATTGTACAAGTATAAATATTATTTTTAAAGGCTTTTATTATCCTTCTAATACAAAAAAAAAAAAAACGATTCTTAAAAGATTGTCCTTTACTTTAAAAAAATTTAACAACCCTGTTTTAATTTTTTTTTTGATATAATTAAATAAAAAAGTTGCAGTAAAAGGCGTTCTTAAAAAACAATATGTTGTCAAATTTCGGGTAAATTAACAATCGAATGGTCCCCTAATATTAACAATATAATATCTGCAATTGAATAAAGGTGGATAATTCTCATTATACAAGTTATTTCAAGAATTCAAGAGACGAATATGTGAAATTTTTGTTACTCCAAGTTAAATATTTTGAAAACTAGAGATATTTGAATATTGTTCACGTAATTATGCACCTTAAATAATCATTAAATAAATCATAAGTACGGTTTTACACTGGTCCTCACCTACAGTTTAATTCTTCTACGAAATAATGTTTCTGCTTAGTCTGTTGAATTGTGAAACACTATGTATAATTTAAAGTTAGATGGTGCCTTTTTACAATACTTTTTAGCAGATTTTCGTATCTAAAAATTAATCTAATTGCACAAATAAAAAAATTAACTACTAAGTCTTTGGTACAGTTTTATAAAACAAGCGATTCTTTATGCAAATTGCTAAATGAACGATAAAAGGTCAGTTCTCGCTAAAAAGCTACTAATCACCTTTGATTTGCTACAGTACACCGGTATGACATTCAATTTAATTAATTTTCAAAACTGAAAGGAAAATATTGGGTAACTGACCTACCTAGTTTTATATTTTTATCAAAAATAACAACTCGCAAAAATACTAATAATAATAAAACCTAATTTAGGTTGTAAAAACGCCTATCTAATCACTGTAAAATTTACAGTGTTTACAAATATACTAAAATAAAATATGCTGCTAATAAAAAATACTAATTGCGACGATTCGTTGCCTTTGTTTAAAAAAAAACGCATTCACTTAGTTTATAAAAAGTCTTAGAAAATAAATTTAATCAATAAATTTCTACAATAAAATGCATTTGTCAACATTGCTTAACCTACCAATTCCAAGTTTGCTTGAATTGAATTTTTAATAAACAAAAATCAGTATTTTCAATTCTGTGGCTTTTGGGAGGCATATGACAACTCCAAAATTATTATTATACCAAACAAAAATTTAATAAGGTGGACATCGATATTTTATCAAACTATAATAGATTTACTAGCAGTGCCGGACTTAACATAGTTAGATCAAATGAAACTTCATAAAAACTATTTATTTTAGTGGAATTAACAAAAATCTGTTTTTTTTTGGAGTTAACATATGTCTCCCAAATGCCACAGAATTAATATTCTCACCGAAATGTTAAAATTATTTAAAGCTGTATACACAGGGTGTCCCTGAAAGGTCTGAACAGAACGCTAACACAAATTCGTAAGGTTAAAGTATGACGATCTAGTCCAATTTAGTAAAAAAGTTGATAATTTCCAAAGTATGTCATGAAATCCCTAAAGCGTACCCTGTGTAAGCGCGACCTTGGAAGTCTGCTACTTGATTCATGATCGAAGCAACGCTGACGTGTGAAGGCAGTAGGACCACGTCTCGAATATACAAGAAACACATACTTTGATTTTCTCTTACTATACGGAGAATGGTCGCACTGCGCAGCTTTCTGAGTACCTTTTAAAAGGAGATAGAAAACTCCGCCATTTTGATGCCTTATTACGTGTTGCCTGCATCTTGGCGCAATATTTTAATAGGTTCGTTTTAATCAACCGCTTCTGCTTCGGAATTGTCGGTTTTCTTGTTTTAATCTGACAGGTTAAAACGACTAAACCGACAATTCCGGAAGCAGAAGCGGATGATTAAAACGCACCTGATATTTTGTTTGCTGCTGTGTCAGTAAATATCATTTTTGGAGTCACAGTTTATTGCTAAAGAATCAGTTAGCTGACTCGGACCAGTTGAAAGTTCCAAATTAACATCTACTCCAGGGATACAAATTCAGGATGCGCAGAAGACTGCTGTTTTATTATAGGCGGTTGTCATATATTGTATTATCCAAGTTGCGCAGTGTATAAACTGGAACATTGAGATCAAAAGTGCCGACACAGAGTGAGCAAACTGATTATTTAGCTATAAACTGTGGTAAAGGCATCAAAATGGCCGCGCCCTATATTAATCGAATTAAATTACGGGTTTTGAGCTTACATTAAATTGTAATCAGATGAAACAAAATGGATTCTATGTATTTTGAGGCGATCTTTTCGAAAAAAGGCAAAACAAAATGTAGCTGTTTTTCGAAAGTGCCGAAATTTTGGATTTTGTCAATTTTTCAATTTTGCGCAGGCGCATGTCGGAAATAAATCAATATTTTCAAAACTCAGTTTACAACATTTGAAAGATTAGAAAAAATGCTAATTTTCATGTCTCCTGAGAAATTTTGATCCGATGCACCGTTCTCGCGGTATGGACGATTGAAATTTGTTTAGTATTTTGAGGCGGCGAAGGTCGAAAAATTGAATTTGTTAAATGTTCAAATACTAAATTCTTCATAACTTTGGTAAAAATTAAGATATTTAAAAAAACAAAAATGGGTTTTGAACTTAAAGGATGGGACTATTGATTCCCAGAAGGGGGGCAAGAGAAATCCCAAAATTGGGCATATGGCGGAAGGGCAAAGTGTACCGCGGGCCTAATTTCATTGTTTGCCTATAACGGCCAAACTATTTAAATTTTTTGAATCCCACTTACGAGCTTACTCTTGAATATGAAATCTTATACGTTTGTGAATTTCACCGAAATCGGATTATAATTGGCCAAGATATCAAACAATTTAACAAATTTTTTTCCCTAAAAAAAACTAAATTTTTTTCGAAAGTTTGAAGTGGCCCAAAAATGTCAAAAATGCACCCAATGGCTCAAAACTTTTTGTTTTGAGTACTTTATTGTGTCTAAAATACGATTACATTACGGAAAATTCTGCAAAAATATTTTATCTATTTTTTTTACCACTGTTCATTGAGTGATGACCAAAAAACACGGTTTTTGAGAAAAGTTGCCTAAAATTGACAATTTTCAGTTTTTTTGTCTGAAAATTGAACAAACCCAATTTTCATGTCTTCTGATGTGTATACAAAGTTTAAAGTGTGTATGTTTCTTCTAAGTTATGGAATTCTCCCGACAAAAGTCCCATTACACGCACTCCGCGGGATCCAAAACTCGTGTATACACTGCATTTCTGTAATTTGATTTTTTGTGATTTCCAGTTTTAAATTTCTTACATACCTAAATTTATTAGGCCTAAAATTTATTAAATTGTATTTTACTGACTTGTTATAAGACGTTTGTTGAGTTTTGTGCAAAAAATAGAATTACCGCAAAATTAGCCGCACGTCGTATCAAGGATAGCCATGGTCTCGGCGTTCGCTATCCGACAAGTTTAAACTTTAAACGGTCATATTATTACAAATTGAATCGCTTGATAGTGTTCATCGGCATAAATTTTTAATAACCGTGTTCAGAAAGCTCTGTGTACGCGTGGTTTTTCGGACTTCTTCAGCAATTTATTGAGTAAGTACGTTCCTATATTAAGAAAATTCTATCACTATAATTTTTTTGTTTCCAGGTTGCAATGGCTGGCCTGTGTTTATTATGTCATCACACACTTGCAGAGGGTGAACTTACCCCAATTAGATCAACAGGATTGAAAGGTCTGCAGACGGTCAGCAAAGAGAGGGGGATGATTTTTTCAGTTCTTTAGACCAGGTTTTATATCGCATGAGAGGTGTCGCAAACATTACGTAGCTCATCGTTACGGAAAAGAGTTTATTTATAAAACCTGGGATAGGCATAAAAGGGCCGCGATTTGACAATGCCAAAAAAAAAGGAGGATGGAGCATCAACCGAGAAGAAAACCAGAGAACAAAAAATAAGCTTATCACCAAGTTGGAACTTACACTCAGGCTTAGGATTAATTTCCTAACATTTTTAAAGTATACCTTTTTGTGTTTTTTTTGTGCTCTTTCCGATGGCGCAGTTAGTTTTTTCAAATATATTTTTTGTTAGATGTTTTCGGAAAACCTGGAGAAAATCATATGGGAAAAAAAGTTAAAAAAAATTACGCCTTCCGGTTTCCTGCGAATTCCCGAAAAATTATGGCAGATTTCGCCGCGGGACTTATTTTATTTGAGAGCCAACAAAAAAAATACGCATCTTCTCTCATGGGCACATATGTCTAACATTTATAATTTCGCCACAAATTCATCGCAAATTTCATGTTCATGGTTCTGATCAAAGAAACGAAAAAACTTTTGGTAAAAGCACTTCTGGCGGAGAGAAATTCGCCATTAAAACTACCTGTGTAATGAATTTCCGAACTATTTTTGCCTCCTCTTTCGATTGGTGCACTTATTTTTAGTATCAGAATGATACTTGCCCAGATAATTAGCATTTTTACCATGGAAAATTCCGGAAAACCCGGTTTCCTAATTTAAAAAAAATTGAAAAACAGCTACATCTTTTTTTCGGAAAGATCACATCAAAATACACAAGGTCCACTTTGTTTCATCCAATTACAAATTAATGTAAGCTCGAAGGGGCCTTTTTTTGTTATTTAATTGGACTAATGGGCGTGTCGAACCTCTCTCTTGCACCGTATAGTAATCAAAGTATGTGACAAAAATCGACGGAATCTTCTAGGTATGCCGCTGACGCTTTGAGAAACTGCCGTTGAGTCATAGAGATGGAATTTTCGGGAGTGCCTAGAAACTACGAGCACAGAACTGGACTTGATATAAATAGCCGACTCATCGACGCACAGTTTAGTTTTAGTATAGAATATTGGAATGAAAAGTTAAAGTGTAATAAATAAATTAGAATTGTTAGTTAGTGTCTAAGTATTATATTAATTAATTAGTACGTCTTAAATAAATTGTAAATAGTGTGTTTTAAATAAATAAATTAGTACTATCGTCACAATATATTTGTTAAATTTGTGTAAATATTTATCTTAATACTAGCATGATTTGCACGAAATTTTATAATTGGTTTCTTTTTTAGGATAAGATTTAATTTATATAGAATAAATTAAAATGTGGAGGTTAGGGTGATGCTTAAAAATTAAAGATAAAAAATTCAACGGTTCACCCTCTCATTTTGATCTCTCATATGTAAAATGGAGTTAACTAAAATTTTGTTGGATTTCATTAAGTTTTAGAGGTCGCTACCAGGCTTTAAATTTCATAAAAAATGTTAAAATTCAATATAATTTTCATTAGTAATTTTTAATATAAAAAAACCTTATCTCACTTAACACTTTATTTTTATGCCAGGAAGACTCCAATCTAACCACACAACATCTCCCTTCACTCTAGACCAACTCCCCCCCTCTCCCACCAACTTGAGGAGCCAGTCACTGCTTGTCAGTGTAGTAGTAGTAGTGGCTGGCTATGATTAGTGCGGGTGTGTGCACGTGTGCAGTTAGTCTAACCTTCAGAACAGTTTATTTCGCTTATATTATAAAGACTTAAAGAGTGATTTATTTTCTGTGTTTTTTTACAGTGAATCTAATAAGTTTCGTAAGAGTTTTTATTTGTGGGAATTATAAACAATAAACTATATAATGAATAAATAAATTTGTATAGACTGGAAGGTTATATTACTTGTTTTGGCTGTTTTTAACGGACTTCAGATTAAAGTGTTTAGGCCTAGGACTCTCAATTTTTGGTTTTCATACTTTTATTACTGTTATTTATGGCATATTGTAAAGTGCCTGTAGTTTCTACAAGAAAACAGACGGAAATATGGCTAGTAGGTCAAATTTCTCAAACATTAAATCAAACCAAACTACCTTCTAAACGTGAAACTCTTTCTGTATTTTTTTATTACAAAGAACAGGAAAAGCAAACAATCCGTGAAGCTGCTCATTCGACTTCCAAAGATGTATTGGAAATTTGGAATAAAGCTAGAATTCCAACATAACAGAAAATTCATATTGTGAATAAGATTGAAAAGCTTTTTAAAGAGTGGCAGAATCTAAAGAAAAATAAAGAAAATAAATCTAAAAGGTCAGACGGGTTAAGGCTGAAAGAAGAAACATGGAATAATAACCTAGCTGATTTATTTGATGTAGCACATGCAATTGCTCTACAAATGATTCGCATTCAAGAAGATAGGGATTTTTTGCTGGCACAGCGTGAAAAAGGACGTCCAGGTAAAATGGGTAGTGTTGACAAAAAACTGTCAAAAAAGGAGAAAGAAAAAGAACTTAAAAGAGCTAGAATCGAAATGTTTAATGCAAAAGAATATGAATCTATCAATTCAATCACTTCTAAATCATATATGTTTAGCTCATCATCCGACGATGAATCCCTTCATGGCGAAGACAATGATTTTTATGGCCCTTCAACGTCATCAGCAGGTGAAAAACAAAATGAAGGTGTGAAGAAAAGAGGTAAAAAAAAACTACTCAATGAAAAACTAACTACGAGCCTGGATGTTGCAAAAATAAGCGATCGCAAAGCAGCTCTTGTTCTCACATCCACTTTGAATCGCCTTGGCTGTGATCCTGCTGAATATAATTTGTCTTCCATACGCCGTCAGCGACTTGAGTGTAGACAAAAAATAGCTGAAAATATAAAAAAAGATTTTGACACTGATGTTCCTTTAACTGTGCACTGGGACGGAAATATGTTAGAAGATATTACAGGCCATAAAGTTGTTGACCGACTTCCAGTTTTAGTTTCTGGTAAAGGGGTGGATCAGCTTCTCTGCATTCCAAAACTTGAGTCTCGTGAAGGTGAAAAAAATTGCTTCAGCAATTTATGAATCCCTCCTTTCATGGGGTTTACTCAATAAAGTAAAGAGTATGAGTTTCGACACAACCGCATCTAATACCGGGTCTCGAAAAGGGGCTTGTATTCTACTTGAGCAGAAAATGGATAAGGAAATGCTCTGGCTAGCATGTAGGCATCACATTATGATAATTATGCTGGAATCAGTTGTTCAAAATGAAATTGGGCCTTCGTCTGGACCAGATAATGTATTATTCAAAAGATTTCAGAAAAACTGGCAATTAATCAATAAAGAAGAGTATACGACGTTAGAAACTGATGAAGAATCTATTGAAAAGCTCCAAGATGTGAAAGATGAAATAATCTATTTTGCTAAGAAACAATTGACAGAATATCAGCCCAGAGATGATTACAAGGAACTCTTACAACTAAGCATTGTATTTTTGGGAGGAGAACTAGAAAATGGCGTGTCATTTAAAAAGCCTGCAGGTCTTCACCGAGCACGTTGGATGGCAAAGTCTATCTACTCACTGAAAATATTCTTGTTTCGAGAACAATTCAGATTGACAAAACATGAGGAAAAAGGTTTGCGAGAAATTTGTATTTTTACAGTCTTAATTAAGTATTGGTTCCAAGCTCCATCCGCTTGTTCAGCCCCAAGAAACGACTTAGAACTCCTCAAAGATTTAAAGAAGTATGAGGATGTAAACCCTGTCATAGCTAGAAAAGCAATAAATAAAGTATGTGGCCATTTATGGTATGTCTCAGAGGAACTTATCGCCTTATCATTTTTTGACGACAAAGTGGGAAATGAAACTAAGAAGAAAATGGTGGAAGCTCTAAAGAAAGAAGTAGCTGATTTTTGCCCGAAAAGAATTAATGTAGACATTGAAAACATTGTTAATAAGAATCTAGACGATTTTGTCACTAGTAACACCAAACGATTCTTTTCTATTACCGGAGTAAGCTCCGATTTCCTCAAGAAAAAAGTTGAAGACTGGATCAAAGACAAGGAATATATTCAAAGTAAGCAGATAGTAACAAAATTTAAGGTAGTCAATGATACAGCAGAGAGAGGGGTGTCCTTAATCCAAGAGTACAACAAAATACTGACCCTAGATGAAGACCAGAAGCAGTATATTTTGCTTCTTGTGAAGTCCTTCAGACAAAATTTCCCGAACTACAAAAAAGCAACTTTGATATCTGCATTATGAGTTTTTTACGTGTTAATTGTGCATCAAAATATTTTTGAGGAGTCTAAACAACTAATATGAGCTTATATTAATTATGTAATAAGTTTTTTAAAAATTGTGACAAAGAAATTTTGTAAAAATCTGTGTTTTTTGTGTAATTTTATAATAAATACAAAATTTTTTAAATAATCACTTTTTGGGAAAATGTTAGATTTTTTAAATCTTTAGTAGCGACCTTTAAATTTTTCTCAAAAAATTATTTTAAGTTTCTCTTATTAGGTAGAACAAAATGGGAGGGTGACCCAAGAGAAAAGAAACAAAAAATATTATTGGGTCATCACCCTAGTGGAGGTAGTAGTATTTGGATGAAAAACTTTGATAATGTGAAATGTATAGATCTGTCCACATTCTGTATATAAAAAAAACAGTTCGAAATATGTGCTGTATCTTGTAAAGTTAATAACATTGTTTATACTATTTTAAATTATTATCGATCTCCTTCTGGAGACATTAATTTTTTTTAAATCAAATTTCTGAGGTGTTAGATCAATATATACATCTCACTCAGTTTATTTTGACGGTAGATTTTAATTTTAACAAATATTCAAATGATAGTTTTCATTATTTGTGTGTGCTTTTGTCCTTGTATCAATAGTTACTTGGCCTACAAGAATCACTGAAAATTCCTGCACATTAATTGAATTAAAATTGAATTAATTGATTAAAATTTTCGTGAGCAGCTGTAAATAAAATGTTATGTGTTGTGTCACTGTGTCATTCTTCAGTTTTTTTGTAATTTCAATCTCTTTAAAGTTTTAGAAAAGAATTCAAAAATGAATGTTGCGAAAAGAAATTTTAGCGAACATAATAAAGAGCAATTTAAACAAGCTCTTTCCATTAATGACTGGACAATTTTAAATAATATTAGTACTATTGATATTTTCGTACTTTTATAACATTTTTAAAAGTCGTTTTAATTTTTTTACTTTCCTGAAAAACAAAGTAACTTAAAAAAAAAAATTTTAAAAAGTTGGATAGATCCGAAATTGCTGCCTCAAGTCGATCACTAAAAGATCTTTTTATATTAAAAAAACGGAGTTATAACCTAACGTTTTTGGCAATCATTTAATCATTTTTAGCAACACAATTATTTAAATAGTAAATTTTATGAATTATTACCAAAAAAACTAAATAAAATTAACCAAAAAACCTGAGAATTTACGAAAAAACAAATTTGTGTTGCGTCTATACAGACCTTTCAGAGACGCCCTAAATAAATATTCTGATTTCAAATTAACTTTAGTGCTTCGTAAAAAAATCTTACCTTAATGTTAGAACTCCATAAAAAAGATAGTTCTGAGATCTGTTTTTCTAATGTATGAAGATGCAATGATCCTACCTAAAATCGATTAATGTTTAACTGGTTATGGCAGTAAGCGGACGTAAATCATACTGAATTGACAAACCAAAAATTACTCTTCCAATTAGTATTCAAACGCTTTTAGATGCCTGCTTAATACTATTTCCTAAAAATTCATTCTCTCATACAAAAAAAATAAAGGAAACATGGCACTTCTAATATCAGACTTTGTTTGAGCTGCCTTTGGGACATTATGGGGATTCCGTAGGATCTTCCAACTTGTCCCAATCGAATTCTGTGGGGCTCTGCTTTCCGCTCACCACACCTAAATTCTTAAACCTACAAAAAATATTATCAAGGCATAAAGAGGGAAGAAAAAACTCGAAAGTCTTGACCACAAAATAAAATAATAAAAAATAGTAAAAATAAGAAAAGAAAATAAACAATAGTAAAAACAGTAAAAAATAGTGATAATAGTAAAAAACGGTAAGAAATAGTAAGAAAACAGTAAAAACCAGTAAAAAATAGTAAGAAACTAACAAAAACAGAAAAGAAAATAAATATAGCAAGAAAACAGTAAAAAATAGTAACAAATCATAAAAAATAGCAAAAAACAGTAAAAAAAATTAGTAAAAACAGCAATAAATAGTAAAAAACCAGTAAAAAAAATAGTAACAAATAGTAAAATACAATAAAAAAACAGTTAAAAATAGTAAAAAAAAAACAATAAGAAATAGTAAAAAACAGTAAAAACAGTAAAAAATAGTAAAAAACAGAAAAGAAAATAAAAATATAGTAAGAAAACAGTAAGAAATAGTAAAAAAAAACAGCAAAAAATAATAATTAAAAACAGTAAACAAAAGTAAAAAAATAGTAAAAAAAACAATAAGAATTAGTAAAAAACAGTAAAATAGTAAAAACAGTGAAAACGGTAAAAATAGTAAAAAACAGCAATAAATAGTAAAAAAAAAAACAGTAAAAAATAATAATTAAAAACAGTGAACAAAAGTAAAAAAATAGTAAAAAAAAAACAATAATAAATAGTAAAAAAAATGTAAAATAGTAAACAATAATAAAAAAATAGTAAAAAACAATAAAAAAATAGTAAAAAACAATAAAAAACGGTAAAAAACAGTAAAAAAACAATAAGAAATAGTAAAAAACCGTAAATAAAATACCAAAAAACAGTAAAAACAAGCAGTAAAAATAAGAAAAAATAGCAAAAAAAAAAACAGTAAAAAATGGTAAAACAGTAAAAAATGATAAAATAGTAAAAAATATTTAAAAAAAAAGTAAAAGAGTAAAAAACAGTACAAAAAATAGTGAAAAAATAAAAAATAGTAGATAAAGAAAAAAATAGGAAAAACAGCAAAAAATAATATATGTATAGTAAAAAAATAACAAAAAAATACTAAAAATAAACCATAAAAAAATACCAAAAAAACAGCAAAAATCGTAAAAATAGTAAAAAAATAACAAAAAAGAGTAAAAACCGTAAAAAAGTATAAAATAATAAAACACAGTAAAAATAGTAAAAAAAAAACAGTAAAAGAGTAAAAATAATATAAAACACTAAAAAATAGCAAAAAACAGTAAAAGTAGTAAAAAATAGCAAAAAAATAGTAGAAAACAGTAATAAATAGTAAAAATAGTAAGAAATAGTAAAAACAGTAAAACAAAATAAAAAACAGTAAAGGAAGAGTAAAAAGTAGTAAAAAATAGTAAAATATAGTAAAAAATGGTAAAAAATAGTAAAAAATAGTAAAAAATAATAAAAAATAGTAAAAAATAAATAGTAAAAAATAGTAAAATGGTAAAAAATAGTAAAAATCAGTAAAAAACTAAACAATATTATATAAAAACAGTAAAAAATGGTAAAAAAGGGGAAAAATAGTAAAAAAATAGAAAAAAACAGTAAAAATATTAAATATATTAAAAATAGTAAAACAGAGTAAAAAGTAAAAATAGTAAAAAATGATAAAATACACTAAAAAACAGTAAAAAATAGTTTAAAATAGTAAGAAACAGAAAAAATAGTAATAAAAGTAAAATATAGTAAAAAATATTAAAAAAAAAACAGTAACAATATTAAAAAACAGTACAAAATAGTGAGAAAAGAATAAAAAATAGTAAAAAAAAACAGTAAAAAAATAGTAGATAAAGAAAAAAACAGTAAAAAATTATAAAAATAGAAACAAAAAAAAATAGTAAAAAAAGTAAAATATAAATATAGTGGAGTAGTAAAAAATAATAAAAAACAGTAAACAAAAGTAAAAAACAAAAAATAGTAAAAACAGCAAAAAAATAATAATATATAGTCAAAAAATAGCAAAAAATACTAAAAAAAAAAACCGTAAAAAAAATACCAAAAAAACAGTAAAAATAGTAAAAAAAATAACAAAAAAGAGTAAAAACAGTAAAAAATAGTATAAAATAATAAAACAGTAAAAATAGTAAAAAAAAAAACAGTAAAACATAGTAAAAACAGTAAAAATAGTATAAAACACTAAAAAATAGCAAAAAAACAGTAAAAGTAGTAAAAAAGCAAAACATAGTAGAAAACAGTAAGGAATAGTAAAAACAGTAAAACAAAATAAAAAACAGTAAAAAGTAGTAAAAAATAGTAAAAAAATTGTAAAAAATAGTAAAAAAATAGTAAAAATTAGTAAAAAATAGTAAAATGGTAAAAAATAGTAAAAAACAGTAAAAACACCAAACAACAGTAAATAAAAACAGTAAAAAATGGTAAAAAGGGGGAAAAAATACTAAAAAATAGAAAAAAAACAGTAAAAATATTAAAAATAGTAAAAAAGAGTAAAAAGTAAAAATGATAAAAAAAGAGTAAAAAGTAAAAATAAAATAATAAAATACAGTAAAAATAGTAAAAAACAGTAAAAAATAGTAAGAAACAGAAAAAATAGTAATAGAAGTAAAAAATATTAAAAAATAATAAAACGGTAAAAAATAGTAAAAAACAGTAAAAAATAGAATAAAAGTAAAATATAGTAAAAAATATTAAAAACTATTACTATTAAAAAACTACAAAATAGTGAGAAAAGAATAAAAAATCAGTAAAAAAATAGTAAAAATAGAAACAAAAAAATAGTAAAAAAAAATAAAATAGAGTAAATAGTAAAAAATAATAACAAAAAAAAATAGTAAAAACAGCAAAAAATAATAATATATAGTAAAAAATAGCAAAAAAGGAGTAAATACAGTAAAAAATAGTATAAAATAATAGAACACAGTAAAAATAGTAAAAAAAAGCAGTAAAACATAGTAAAAATAGTATAAAATACTAAAAAAAATAGCAAAAAAACAGTAAAAGTAGTAAAAATAGCAAAAAAATAGTAGAAAACAGTAAGGAATAGTAAAAACAGTAAAACAAAATAAAAAACAGTAAAGAAACAGTAAAAAGTAGTAATAGTAAAATGGTAAAAAATAGTAAAAAACAGTAAAAAAAACGGTAAAAAACAGTACACTAAACAATAGTAAATAAAAACAGTAAAAAATGGTAAAAAAATAGTAAAAAAAGAGAAAAATAGAAAAAAACACAGTAAAAATATTAAAAATAGTTAAAAAAAAACAGTAAAAAATGCTTTCAGATCTTCTATGTCTACTGCCACTGATTTGTTTTCCTTTTACGAAAAAATTATTGAACACGTTGATGAGGATAAATGCCCTGCTGTTATTTTTTGTGACCTCAGCAGAGCATTTGACTGTGTGAATCACGATATTTTATTGTCCAGATTAGAGAACATAGGAGTAAGAGGCAGGCCTTGTTCTTGGATAGCTTCATTTCTAGCTTGGATAGCTTCAGTTTGTATCCATAAAATCCACCAGTAAAGATCAATGCAAAAATTTTAATTCAGATCACTTGTTAGTTCAGATGGGTGTGCCACAGGGATCAATTTTAGGTCCAATGCTATTCGTCCTATATGTTAACCATATTGATTCAATTACCCCAATTCTTATACAGCCTACGCCGATGACTTTTCTATAATTGTTTCTGATAAATCTACCGAAATTCTTGAGACAAAATGTGATCTGATTTTAACTAATGTAAGTACATTTTTTAACAGTAGTTGCTTATTTTTTAATAGCGAAAAAACCGAAATTCTTAGGCTACATAGGCAAAATAAAGTTAATAATATATTTTTCAGTTAATAAGTCATTATTGACGAACAGCCACAGTAGCGTTAAATTTTTAGGCATTTTATTAGATGAAAATCTTAACTGGAAACACCATTGTGAGAAGTTAATCTCTAAATTAAACTCATTGAAGTTTCTTTTCCTTAATTTGAGAAACGTTCTTGAAAAAACGCAACTATCAGCGTTATACTATGCACAAGTCGACTCCAGGTTACGTTATGGTGTCTGTCTCTGGGGAAATGCTCCAACTGTATCCTCTGTTTTTATAGTGCAAAAAACATTATTCGCTACATCGGGAATATTCGTAGTCTTACATCGTGTAAGGAATACCATAAAAAATTAAAAATTTTAACTGTGACTTCAATTTATATTTTTGAACTGTCTTCGTTCGTAAAAATTTAAAGAAATTTATCTACAAAAATGAATATCACAGTTATCCAACGAGACGAAACCATCTTCTTCATTTGCCGCTAGACAGGGAGAAAGTAACCTATTGTTCGCCAAATTATATAGGTCCAAGAATTTATAACAAATTACCTAATGCTTTTTATATACTCGATGAATTTTTTGCAATATTAAGACAGTATCTTTAATAATTTTTTTTTGTTATTTTATCATTCAGCTATAGGTATAGCTTTTACATATAGTTTATTTTTATGACTATATTCGAATACAATTAATATTGTCTTATGGAAATATAAATAAATAAAAGAAACAGTAAAAAAATAAAAAAAAAATAAAACAGTAAAAAAAAATTAGTAAAAAACAGTAAATAATAGTACAATAAAAAATAGTGAAAAACAGTTAACAAATAGTAAAAAAAAAAACAGTAAAAATTGGAAACAAAAGTAAAAAATAGTCAAATATATACTTTGTGACCAAGACTGAGTTTTTTCTTTACGGATATACCACATTTGAGATATGGATAACCTTTCTATTATTAATAAAGATTCTTTTAAAAAAATTAATATACCTCTGTTCAAAATCCGCGTCCCTGCTTTTCAAATGTTCGAAACGTTGAAATAAAATTTTCTTGGCGAAATTATACAATTCAATGTCTAAATTGTTCAATTTAGAAATGGCTTCCGATTGTTTAGATGATAGCGTACTCAAAGTGTAACTGGAGACAGTGGCGTTGTTTTGTTCAAACGGAATAGCAAACCTAAGATTGAAAGTCTCTTCGAAAATATACTGCGATATCTTCTGGTGTTCCGTTAGTCCAAAAAACGCCATCGACAGAAGGTTTTTCTTAGCGCTGGCTAACAAGATTCGATCCCTTTCAGCTTTAGCCATGTATGATTTATTATAACAACCTATAATAGAAGTATAATGGTAAATAATATAGTTTTTGTACCTCAGGGACTAAAACATGCAATTTACTGAAGTGTCAATTTTATTCCCAAGGGATTAAAAATCGAATAAATTTATCGATTTTTCGAAAATAGTTTTGTTTGAAACTTTGCATATATTTTTATTTATTAATAGTACAATTAAAGGGCTTATTGTAAAAATGTGATAAGCCACATTTTGAAAATAAAGGCATTTTTACTTTACGACAATAAAAATTAAGGTCACAGAAACTTGAACTAAATGGAAATTCTCTATCAAATACCATAATTAGTAAAACAATCAAGTTATTGCCTTTTAACAAAGTGGTAGTACTTATAAAAGTTTATTTTAACCTTTGAAAACGTGTTTCCTGAATAAATTAATATTGTGGCTTATCATGTTGTTCTAATAAGCCCTTCAATTATTAAAAGCACAATTGATTACTATAAAACGTCAAAATAATAAATTTCAATATGACATTTACTGTATACCTACTTGATTTACGTATGTGTTGCCTATATTCTAGCAACTGTCAACGAGGACATTGAAATTTATTCGCAAAGGAAGGAAGGCGAGTTTATTAGCGAATGCATGTTGACAGATGAGAAAAATATTCTAATTAAATTAATAAAATTAACAATAACAAAAAGCAGTAATCTTTAGTCCCTCAAATAACAAAACCAATAGAAAACATAGTAAACTACTTTATTTAATGAAATTAATTGAAAAACAATAAGCGACTAAAGTGCGTTTTAATTTTAATTAAAAGTGGCACTTCAGTCCCTTGGTAAATAATACACTTTTAGTTCGACATCAATTATATGATTCTTTTTAGCGTTTTTGGCTTGTACTTGAAACAATCCAAAATATTCCAATTTTACGATCTGAAGTTTGTTGTTGGCTGCATGTGCTAATCATACATTTATTTATTTCATATTATGTTAATTAGTGATAACCTACACAGCAAAAAAAAAAGATGAAAAAAGAACATTTTGCTATTTGTACTTACCGACAAGTTCAAGATCTGCCAGCATTCTTGTTTGTCTGTTAACGGCTAAATTGCTGTGGCATTTAATGAATTCATCCAAATTCACCCCTTCCCAATTGTCTCCTTTATAACAAGGAGGAATTTCTTTATCTGTAGCCAGCCGTCCATTACAGAAATGCCTCGAACCTTTCCAAGTAGCACCTCTTTGTACGTGCCGAAACTCCGACAAATATCTATTAAAATTTATTTAAAATAAAAGTTAAATTCTAATTTATTTGAGGTTTATGTCATTTAGTAAAGAAATTAGAAACAAATATAAAATTATAGCCTATATCAAAATAAATATTTAAGATAGCGCCGACTGAACCGCACGCGCAAAATACTGATGAATGTAATTATTGTAAAAAATCAGTAACTGCTAGTGTAAAATGTGAAATCTGTGACTTGAAATATCATCCATCGTGTGCACAAAGAGTAAATGCTATAATAAGATGCTGTAAACCAAAAGTTATTGAAAAATCTAAGACTATGGATCAAGAAAAAAGTAAAGGTGATGTATTTTGCATTGATGCTTAAATCTTTTTAAAATTACTAGTAGAAGAACAAAAACTAGCAAACCAATTAATGAGTGAAAAAATAGAAATCTTAAAAGTTGAACTTAAAAATGAAAAAACGAAATATTCTGATCTGCAAACACAATATAACGAAATAAATCCTAAATTTATAAAAGTTGACAATAAAAATCAAAACTTATCTATCAGCGATAATAAAAGACCAGTTTTTATAGAAAAACCAAACCAAACAAAAACTGAAAGTGTGAGTATACCTGTTGGAAATAAACATTTAATACCAAACCTGTACAGGATGAATCATTCCTCCAAAGGAAACAAATTGCATTAGAACTTATGAAAATTCAAACCCTACAAAAAACTAATGAAATAATAAATCTAGCAGATGATACTAATGAGGAGAGTCATGAAAATGTTTATACCACAGTAACAAGACGGCAAAGGAGAAAAACAATTATGGGAAGTGGTGATGATGAATTTAAAGGAACGGAAAAATCAAACAAAAAAATTTGGCTCTTTGTATCTAGAGAATCAGACACTGTAAATGAAGAGAATGTTAAAAAAAAAACATTCATAAACGCACAAACGCAAAAGACATTTATGTGAAGAAACTAGAGATATATTTTGTAAGACAGAATAATCAAGCTTTTCTAGTGGGAATAGATCCTCATTTTCAGGAGCAAGTAAATAAATCAGATTTTTTGCCGAAAAATAGATTTTATTCCCGATTCAACTTTAAACAAGGTCAGCGATTTCTTGAAAATTCACAAAACTAGAGATCGCATAAGAGCGAAGAAAATTTTTTAAAACCTAGCCTCTACTTCAAACCTGATAAAATAGGGACCTCAAGGACTACTATGGAAAACCACTTTTTGAAAGAAAATAATGAATTACTATTTTGCAGTTCCCAACAGTTAAATATTACTTTAATGCATATCAATACACAGGGAGGTTTTGCTAATAAATGCTTTGATCTAAATTTAATTTTACAGAAACAAAATGTAAGTATTCTATGTGTTACTGAACATTGGCTTGATTCTAACAATTTACAAGCTACCTCAATTGACGATTTTAAGCTAGTATCATATTTTTCACGGATAAATAAAGAAAAAGGTGGTGTTAGTATATTTATGAAATCAAGTATTGCGGCAAATTTTGAATCAATTAATTTACATAGGTGGTGTATAGAAGGTGAATTTGATGTGGTGGAAAAATAAAGATTGATTCTAAACTTTTTTTATTTATTATTACTGTGTATAAGCCACCTTGTACTAAGTTTAGCACTTGTATAAATCAGCTAGAGCAATTAATTCATAATATTTATCAAAACGACAATCACTATTTTATCTGTGGTGATATTAACGTAGATTTTTTGATTGAAGGTAATCAAAAAACTGTTTTAATTGACTTATTGAAGGAATTTAATATTAAACATCATATAAATATTGCAACGAGAACAACAAGTACAACCTCAACTTGTTTAGATAATTTTTTTACCAATTTTGATGTAGATAAGGTGGGTGTATATGATACTTTTTGTCTGATCATAACTACTTATTATGTTCGATTAAACTACCTAATTTTGAAAATAACGAATTTAAATACAGATATAAATGAGATTTAAGTGATCCTAACGCAATAACTTTTATAAATATTTTATCAGTTGAAAATTGGCGTGAAGTATACACATCTACTAATTTTAATGATAAATTTTCTATCTTTTATGAATCATTCCTATACCACTACAATATTGTATTTACGAAAACAAAGAAAGCGATAAAACCACAAAAATTAAAAAATCAGTTCCCACCTCATATTAAAGAGTTACATAATTTATTATGTGAAATGAACAGGTTAAAGAAAAATAAATTCTACATATTATACAGAACGTTACAATAATTTAAAAAAAGAGTATCAAAAAATAACAAAACAATATTTGAGAAGAAAAATAATGATCGTATTTTAAAAAGTAATAACGTAATGAAAGAACCCTGGAATATAATAAACGAGAGTAGGGGATAAAGAAAAAATAACTTATTGAATCCTATTAAACTTACAAATGATGACAAATTAACACCCTTAGAAAAAGTAAATTATATCAATGACTATTTTATTAATGTAAATAAAAATAATATTGTACCTAACTATACTATGAGTATTGATAAACATCATAAAAGGTTTTTTCTTTTTCCAACAACTCCTAGTGAAATCATCACTGAAGGTATTGACGAAATAAATGGTAAAATTCTGTTATCGGTTGCTCATTGTATTGCTGAACCCATATCACATTTGATTAATGAATCCTTTGTTCCGGGATTATTCCCAAATATGAAGGAATCTAAAGGAATTCCTGTTTATAAAAATAAGGGATCTGCATCTAATATAGAAAATTATCGTTTAATCTGTATATCTAGTCAAATAACTAAAATATTTGAGTCAGCATACTTTATTAGACTCACTAATTACCTTGAAAGTTTTAATATATTGCCTAATACACAAAATTGATTTAGAAAAAATAAGTCAACATCTACTGCAATTGCAGCTTGCCTAGAGTTTATATATCAAGCACTCAATGATAAAAAACATATTTTGGAACTCTTCTATGACCTTAGCCGTGCATTTGATATGATGGATCATAATCTTTTATTATTGAATATGAATGGGTTAGGAATGCGAGGGAAACCTTATGAATGGATACAGTCTTACTTAATAAATCTAACTCAAGTAATTGTAACAAATAGTCTAAAATCTGATCCTCTTCCATGTACAATAGGAGTTCCCCAAGATTCAATTTAGGGCCCACTTTTTTTTATAAGTTATATAAGTAATTTTTGTTTAAGCTCTCAACAAATAGTTCAATATGCCGATGATACCAATATTGTAATGGCAGATGATCAATTGTACAGGTCACTCAAAGTAGCAACGAGGCATCTCGTGAGTTTAACCAGTATTTTAAAGATAATGGTCTGGCATTAAATACTATTCATGCAATTTCTACCCAAAAACATATTACCAGATTTGAACCCTACTTGCATGTTGACGGAAAAACTATTCAAAGCGTTGATGACATAAAATTTTTAAGAATAATATTAGTTCCCAAATTAAATTGGGAAGCTCATATAAAAATAGTAACTTCAAAATTAAGTACTTGTTATATCATCAAAAATTTAAGGGAGACACTATCTTTTGATGCTTTAATATTTTGGGGTTCTTCACCATACTTTGAAAGAGCTTTTGTATCTCAAAAGAAGGTTCTGAGAGCCATGTATAAGGTGACATCAACAACATCATGTAAAGAACTTTTCAAGAAAACGCAAATTTTAACACTACCTTCCCTTTTTATTTTTCAACTAATTTTATACATAAAAGATAGTGAGCATATATTTAAGAAAAATAAAGACCTGCACTCATATGATACTAGATTAAAATTTAACATCCATCAACCTTTTTCACGACTACAAATAAGCCAGCATTCACCAAAATAAATTGGGATTAAGTGTTACTATAAGTTCAGTAACATATTACAAGATACTACAGGTTATCATCAAATTAGTCGTAATGATTTAAGAAAACATCTTAATGATTTTCTTGTAAATAATGTATTTTATAGTATAGAAGTTTATTGAACTTTTAAACTAATCTTAACATGAATTGTCTATTATATATATTTTATTTTTTAATGTATTTTACTTAACACTTTTTTGACTAGTATGATAGAATTTTACATTATGTACCTCTAGTGTCTTTGTATAGTGTATAATTCTCAAAGATGAATAAATTCTATTTCTATTTCAACCAATCAACCAACCAAGCAACTAAACAACCTTCTGTTCTCTATTTTCTGGTTTAAAACTCTTTGTTCGGAAGAGTAATATTGAAATCAGTGGATACATTATAATACCTGACAGAATCAGCGTCACAGTGACAGCTAGAAGCCACTGTTTGACAAATCAACAAATATTACGAGCAGTTGAATAAATATTATGAAAATTAAAACTCAATATTTCTGCCAATTCAATAAAATTTTAGAAGATACATTAAATCAGTTTGGTTTCTCCCCTATTCAACTTATATTTTTCCATTCTTACATTCGAAATAGGCATTCTACAATAGCCATTTTTCAAAAGCAGACGTACCTCAAGGCTTAAATCCAGGGCCACTAATATTCTTACTATTTATCAATGACCTAAACCATTTGGATTCAGGTTTATTTACATACACAATTTAAAAATCTACTATCAAATAACTGATAGAAATATCAATATACCGCTGCTATTTAATTTGGATAAAATATTTGAATGGTGTGTGCAAAACATCTCTAAATATAGTGATATTTTCTAAAAAAAAAAACTCTTATAGAATTCCGCTACACTGTTTAAATATGACTATAACAATGCGGTGATGCACGACAGAACCTACACGCTTATGAATATATTGCGAACTTTTATAATATATTGTGAACTCGACACCCAAATCATGTGTATGTTACTCACCTGGCAGAAGGTTCCCTCAAAAGCGTGATATAAAAGTACCGCCTCTTGACAATGTTTTCCAATTCATCTAATTTCTCGTCGACGCAACTGGTGAGCTCTGTCCAATCGGCGTGCAGGCCACATTTCCAGCCAGTCGTGTATCGGCTGAACAGCCAACTCTGATTTGAGTGAGGACGAAAACAGTAGCACCTTTTGCGACTGATCGGACAAGTGCACGGACGTTTCAGGTCAAGATCGTGCACCAAATGTTTACCAAACGACGTACCACCTAAATATTTTACATAATAATATTCATTTTTTCATATCTGGGATGTATTTATAATGTAACAGGATACAACTGGCAACATCGCAACCGGTAGGCAATGCTTCACTTACAACTTGCCACGCTGAGTGTATAGTAGCCTACAGACAGAACAATCAATTGTACAATATGTTGTACGACCGCATTTGACTCGACAGTTTGAACGACAGTTGCAAGGTTAGTAGTGTTGTAGTACAACCTGCAGTTCGTCGCGATCGAATCGTTTCGCAGTATGAACCTTCCATAAAATCTGTCGAACTACCAGCTTATCGTACGACAAGTTGTAACATGTAGATGTTTCTACGACCGGTTGGAGAGAGTTTTGAAACCAATTTAGTCGGATGTCACTTTGTCCTGTCATAATAAATCAGTATGGACTCTCAGAATAAAGTGTTTTGGAAAGAATTTATAGGAATATACATATAGAGAACATAAGTGCTTATGAAGTGCTCCAATAAAATAAAACGGAACGAAAGCTATGAAATTCTTTTAAAGAAACTGCAAGAAATTAATGAAAATGCTACACTGGACATTCTAAAAAAAAAAAATTAATAATATGCGAACAGCATTTAGACGTGAACTTGAAAAGGTAAGTAATGGTGTATTATATTCTCGTAGGTTTCCACTGAAGTCACCCATTTATCCCCACGATTGGAGTGTTTTACAGTTATTTTTGTGGGTATCTACCTATAGAACGTCTCAAAAATCAGTGCTTTTCTATGAAACATTGGGAAATATGTGTCTTCTAAATTGTTGCGTAGATCACGATCATCTACCATCAGCACTATTGCAAGAACGGCAGCTTTCCTTTTTCTTGATGACATTATAGGTACAATAGGAATCACAACACACACAAATGCAAATAAGATCACCGATCTGTTTTACTGCCTGCGATGCGACAGAACTAAACGATTTTATTCTCAACTTGTAGTACGATATATTGTACAATTGATCGGTCCGTCTGTAGGCCGCTTATGGCTATGCCAGACAGAAAATAATAAGTACTGCATACAAATGTAATGAAAATAGTATTAAAAATATAGTATGTCATCGTTTTCGATAGTCAATGTAATAATTTTTGATCAAAATAGTTATTTATGATATAAGTACTAAAAGTGATATTTCATTTTGTGAGAAGGGAAGTTTGGAACACGACGTCGAAGGCGGAGTGTTCCATCCCTTCAAACAAAATAAAATCACTTTTAGCACGTAAATCATACACTATTTTTTCTACAAACACCATTAAAAGTCCAAATTAACACATACCTATTTTACATTAATTAATTGATAAAATAATAGCCTCGAGATTATCAGGTTTGAATCCAATTTCATCTAATCTATTCATGAAACAAGTTGCCAAGGTAAACAAAAACAGAATTTGTTGATTTGACTTTGTTGACAACTAACGTCAATAAATCACGAATTATTCTTTCTCGTTTCTTCGTTCCTCGATGGAAAGTTATCAAGAAAATGAATTTCTACCGCCGGAAATTGAAGAAGCTGCCAATAAAGCTGCTTTTGAATCATTGCCTAGTAAGTCAAAGCAACAGACGAGTTTTCATACGATCATTTCTTGAAATGGTGTAGTGCTAAAAGTGATTTATTTTTAACACTAGTGTCATAAAATGGCATTTTAGACACTGACACCATGCGTTAAAAATTATACTTTTACTGACTTTTGTAGAAAAAAGCTTTTTTCTACGTTCATGCAAAAAACAAACTTTAATGAACTACATTTAGTAAAAAAACTGGTTCTTTATTGCACTCATCTGTCATTTTACTACAACGTTTTATGATCATGACAAACATAAATATTCAAATCGACGCCAAATATTTAGTCCATTTTCATTTTCTGTGAGATTGTATTACGTTTTAAAAACAATTGCATATTTTATATTATTTGCAATCATTTAATAAATAAATTAATAAAAAATGTATTTTATTAAAAATGTCATTACAAATTATGAACACAAACGTAAATAAATGCCTCAAACACAAAGGTACACGATCACGGCAACTATGATTTGGATAATACAACTGATGATAGTGAAACTTATAGACAATGTGTTGTGAATGATGATCCCAAAACTCTCACTGAACTTAAAGAACAAGTTGCTGAAGCTACAGAATACTCGGTAAAAAAAATTGAACGAATAATTTAGAAGGTGACCAAAGGTGAAAATTCTACGTCGACCATACCTAAATAATTGTTTAAAAGTCCAAAAAAGCGTAGAAGAATATCAAGTGTAACAGATAATATATTCCATCCTACAATACAATATTGGAACAATATAGTTTATAGATTTCACGAAACAGAAGGTATGCGCGTAACAGTCAAAACTCTTAATGAAAAATTAAAAAAGGAAATTGGGTGGAAACGGGGCTGGCTACACATCATTAAGAACTATTTTTAAAAAAATTGGGTTCAACTGGCGAAAAACGCGAAACAACAGACAGGTTCTAATAAAATGGCTTGACATCAGGGAAAAAAGAATAGATTATATTAAAAAAATACGTGTGGCACTCGGGAACTGCCACGGTAAAGCTATTGCATAGTATTTTTTATCAACTTATGCAATTATAATTATTTATTTTATTTACGCAGTATTTTTTTTTTCTTTGATATTAATTCAAGATTTTATAAGAAACATAAGTTTGAGACTTGATATCCTCTAAATATCTGGAAAATACCGCGTCAATGGTGGTCCCATATTTTGTTGAGGATTCTTGTGGATCATTATTCATTTTCAAATTCAATATTTCCGAAATTGTCTCTAAAAGAGATAGAATCAGTTATGAGCAGTTAGCAGCTAGTCTACACGCATACGTCTAGTCGCACGCACACAAACACCGTGCCGAAATCTGCCGAACTGAAACGACGTTAGACAATGCCCGGCTTTCAACGCCGCACTGCTGTGCCGGTCGGAGTGGGGGGTGTTAGGTTTATTTTCGTTACGGAATTTCTTTTTCGATTTTTAGATTTTTCGAGGGTCTTAGGTTCGATAAAATCTATGCAATAGCTTAATAATGAAATAGTTAACACTGATAAAATAAAAATTAATATTTTATAAATCTAGCAAAATAATTAATTTCTAATATTTACGCCAGGAACATTTGTGATACCAATTTATCAGAAGCTAGAGAAAGCTCTTCTAGTTCTTGTATTGCATAAACGTTCCAGTCCGCAGACGTATATTTAACTCCGCTTCATACTAATACGAATAGGGTCGGATAAAATCTTCAACGCCGCACCGCTGTGCCGGTCGGAGTGGGGGGTGTTAGGTTTATTTTCGTTACGGAATTACGAAATTCTTGATTCGGTCGCCACGCTCAAAGCCCGCGATAAAAGCTATGCAATAGCTTAAAAATGAGATATTTTCGTTCTCAAAACTGTCCCTTTGTATATATTGATGAAACTTACATACATAGTAGTCATACATCATCACATAATTGGGGTGATGATAATGCAAAAGGTTTGTTTTCCAACATTTCGAAAGGAAAGAAACTTATTATAGTTTATGCTGGTGGTAACATGGGCTTTATTCCTAGCAGTTTATTAATGTTTGTGTTTGGGGCCAGATATTGAATTTCAACCTTCCTTATTACGACCACAGCTGTGTACATTAATCAAACAGCATAAAAATAGATTCAAGCAATACAAATTTGATAGATTATTCTCTGAACACGGTCATACAGTTTTGATATTACCACCATACCACCATCCAATAGAAATGATCTGGGTTGAAGTAAAAAATAATGTAGCGATATAGAATATTCATTTTAAATTAGCACATGTACAAATGTTAGCTGAAATTGAATTTAAATCAGTAAACGTTGTAATTCCTACAGTTATTATTAATGTTAATGAAGACAGCAGTGATAGTTCTAGTGATAGTGATTATTTTGATGACGATTTTTTAGAACTGTTAATTTGTTTATATTTATTTTGTTTGATAGTAGTTATAGCAACAAGGAATAGAGGTTAGTATAAATTCATATTTTTAAAAAATCTTCGTTATCTTATTTTAATATTTGTATGCTGATGACTTTCACCACTTCTACTTCACCCTCACATTTTGTTATAATATTAAAGATATCAAGTGTAAAATACCATTTTTTTTCACCCAATAAATTTTTCTAACAGAATACATTTTAGCTCAATGATAACAAATAAATTTTAACAAATTCTGTAGTGCTTAAAAAGCAATTTACATAATTGCGTTTGATCCATTGTGTAGGTACTCTGGTATTTCCTATAATACCAACAAATGATAGCCATTGTTGATAAAACATTCTTAGAAACGAGGGCGGACTCGATTTGACCGTTATTAAGGATTAAAATTTTAGGTAATTTTCTTAAAATCTTGTGATTCATTTGACCGTGACCGTTTTAAAAATCCTAGAAAATTTATTTTAAGCGTAAGTAGTATACGATACTGAGCTTTAATAGTAGACATTATGATCGTTTGGAGGTGTGTCAGCAGTGCGTTAACTTTACCCCACTACTGACAAATTAGGATGTGATGCCTGTAAGTTTTAAAATGAGTAATATAATGAAAAAATAGATGACAGGGATGTACTTAGAATTAGTTAATATTGGTATACCTCTACCAATAAACATTGATGTTCTGCTTTCATTAAACGATGTTAAAGTTTATAAAATATTGTATGAATTTGTTAAAAAAACTAATACAAGATTGTAAGTAGCTGAGCTACCCTAAAAATATTGTATACCTGAAACGAAAAAGTAAAATAAATGATAAAATAAAAAAAAAATGAAACCAAGGAAAAAATGAAAAAAAAAAAAAAAAAAAAAAAAAACAAAAAATAATACAAAAAAAAATAATACAAAAAAAAAATAATACAAAAAAAAATAATCAAAAAAACAAATAATAAAAAAATAGACATTTTTTATAATTAATTACAAACTCAGGTATTTTGATAGCTGTAAGTCAAAATATAATAAT